TTACAAGAAAATGAGGATTTTGTTCACTGCCTTTCTTGGATTTAAGCTGGATGAATGAAGAAGTAGTACATACCCCCCTCTACCTGCTCCCCTTCAGCACCCCCCTGGAAAATGGTGAGATTCTGGTAAGATGAGAGGTGGATTTTATACGTTTTGTCTGAAACTGTTCTTGTTGACACCCCTTTAATTACACAAGTCTGCTTTAAAAGCTTTTATCATATTTTCAAAACCTGCCCTTTCAGATTTATGAATTATTTGGGGAATTTTTTAGCAGCAAGGTAAAGTGATGCTTGTGATTCGTAGTATTTTTTTTTTAATTATGGTGATTTTGCTCTTCATATGTAAATAAATAAACAAAAAAGTCCATTAGACATTTGTACGTTGTTCCTCCTTTCCGAGATTGCAAAGGAGACGTGGCCTATAAACCGCTCCTGACTAATCCTCCAAGCTCCGTGCCGTTCAGAGAGTGCTAAAGAAAAGGTTATAAAATTTCATAATTCATAGTTATGGAAAAAAACCAACCACCCAGCCCCCAAAAAACAACTCCTGGCAACTTTCTTAAGAATGTTCATACTAACTCTGTTGTCCTGGCCAGATTCCAGCTTTATTAGATTATAAATTCTATTTTAATCCACTCAGTTTTCAATTGGAGATCTATTTTTTCCTTTCTTTTATTAAATAATAATAGTGGCTTGCAAGGCATGGTTGTATATTTCTAGTCATCAAAACGATTTTCGTGTATTAAACTATATATTTGCATATTTCTGGTTTTAATCATACTCCAGCACTTTAAAAGTAAACGATGTGCTTGACTTGCCAGGATCTGTTTGGTGTTCTTAAACACAGCAGATACACCAGATGAATTAATAGAAATCTGTTAGCTTTTCGGCACTCTTAAATTCCAGATTTCCAGTGTCTCTTCCTTGAGAAATCTGAAGCCCTTAGAAATAGAGGAGTTTGCATAGTCATAGATAAGCTTGGAAGCTTCATATTTAATAGTATAAAGCTGCTAAATTAACTCTGTTTAATGTGTTTTGTTGAAATTTTCATGCATCGTTTGTAGGGTAAGTAGATCTCGGAAGAACAGATATGCGTATAAAAAGATTTAATGGAAACATATGGGACAAGATTAGAGAAAACCACAAAGAAACAACAGTTCTCATCTTCCTTCCAGAGGATGCTTTTGGTTTTGTTTGCTGCATTTCCCCTTCCTCCGAGACAAGCCCCAGATGTGCAAAGTCTTCCTCCCTAACCTGCCCCTTCCGTGTCCCCCGGCCCCCCAGGACAAGCCCCCTCACAGCCTTGGGTTGCAGTAGCACATGCGGCAGCAGAATAAACAGGCAGTGGGTTTTCAAGTGGGGTAAGCAGGGTCTTTACGAAGCTGTTGACTTTTCCTTGCCATAGGTAACTGACCTCTGCTTGAATTAACTTGCCATGATTTTGCAGCTGGAGGGTATATTTTGCCCAGCCTTCCTCTCCACAGCCTGGCTGCAAACGCCGGTACGGCGCGGGGAGCTGGGTGGGAGGCTGTCCCGGTGTGTTGGTGTTGAAGGGGCGATTGCTGGATCTTAACTGGAAATTAGAAAATGGAAGTAATGCTTTTCACCACCACGGCCCTTGTAAAACTTAACTGTGCTTTCAAATGCGATAGCTTAATATTTTCACTGGTGTTCTGGCCTCTTTTACAAGTTGTTTTGTGTCTGTGTTTAACTGAGTCTGTTCTTTGCAGAGTTTGTTCTTGCCATTTCTTAGTATTGTGCTGAATGTAAAGCTTCAAATTATGTCTTTATAATTGGCTGCAGCGTGCCTGTTCCTAAAGGTTACACTTACATATGGTAGCACATACTGAATCGGGCAATTGGTGACTAAATTTGCTCTTTTTCCTGTTGGTAGTTACGCGTCCAAGGGGCAGAGCTGGATCCTAATACTAGTTGAAGAGCCTGACCATAACTCACTTACTTTAGAGTAACACAGCTTCTTGTCTGTCTTATTCTGTCTGTACTGCTCAATCTGTCAAGAGTTTTGAAATCTTTTGATTGGATTTTGGATCATCTTTGCTTAATTAACAAGTTGTTTCTTCCTTCTTTGCAATTTGGCCCTGCTCCCGTGGTAATCACGATGATTGCTTGTACACAAAAGCAATGTATTGAAAACACGGCATGTGTATATTAATGCTGTTTTACAGCTAAAGACACATCAAGCAGCATGTGATGAAGTACGTCTCCGATCACTGGGGACCATTGATCTATCAGCTCATAGACTTCTGCTTGCAGTTAAGACGAGTTAATATGAAGTTAATAGCCAGCATAAGAAAAAACGTTGGAGGCCTTTTTGTTCTTAGTCTAAACTGACAGTGTTAAAACCAACCAGCCAACCAGCCTCCCCCAACCCCAGAGCCTTCCTGCTTGCATTTTTCATTTTAGGTGGATTCTAGTTAAGAGTAAATTCCTTAACTACAATGTGCACAGTGTAGGCGTTGGTAAGGCTTACGCTTCTGTGGTGTTTTAACGCTTACGAGTTCCAAGTGGCTATTTATGTTGCAAAACCTTTTTATTCAAGCAGAGGTTATTTACTGGCTTATGAATGTGTTAGAACTATAACTTGTGAAGAAAACTGGAATTATGAGAGTTCCCATGTCAGCCCTGAAGAATGTCCTTTTTAATTTTCTGCCATGTTAATGTATAATGCTTTAATTTGGCCAATGGGAGAGTGTGATGAAACTGAATATATACAAGTTAGAAACCCACTTTTCAAGATCACGTATCATTGTTTAGCAAAAATAAGTGTTGCATGAAGATCAGCCAGTAATAAACAGAGGAAAAAGATTGAATTTTGGAACCTTGGCTGTTTTGCTAACAGTTGTTTTGCTCCTCCCTTCTTTCTAACACTTGCAAAAATCCGTATTACCTGCTTGAATCTTTAAATTGGGGATGCTACAAAACCAAAGCAAGCAAAAAGATGAGCAGCTGAAAGGGAAGAAGATTGTTTGGGAAATTTGGGTTTAGACTTTTTATTTTGGTTACTGCTGTTTAACTTCTTTGGATAATTAAGTTTTAAATGAAGGTAGAATTAGTTAAAAGTTCAGCAGTCTTGTCCTTTAATTAAAGGTGTTGGAGTTCGTTCACAACAAAAGTTTGCAAAGGTCTTCCAGAACTTTTCTAATAAAGCCAAAGCTGACAATTTCTAGGGTAAAGCAAGTAATGCATGAGAGGAAAATAAACCCCACAGATTAGGGCCACATTTCAGCATGTAAAAATATGAAATAATAACTTGAATTCATTCAGTTCTCTGGTCTGCAGTGCATTAACTTTGCTAATTCATCTTTTCTTGATTACAGTATATAATTCTGATCTTTACATTTATATTTTTATGCCTATTTTTAGTTACATTGAAAACCAAATATTGTAACAGATTTTCATTGTTAATTGTATACATTGTGTTTGTATTTCCTGCAAATTCTTACATTGTGATAACAGGAATGGCTGTCATCTGAAGCTGTGCATGTTTCTCATTTGAAGAAATGTAATTGAAAATGTATTAAAATAAAAATAGATGTTGGATACTGTAGGCATGAGCATCTAACTAAACTAACTTGAGTCTGCGTGCTGCACCCTGGCCCTGATGGAGCTTTTGAGCATTGCAGTAGAATTTATTATTAAAAAAAAAAGAAATGCAAACGTTTAAAAATATAAAAAGTTATTTCTATAACAGTGCTTTAAAAAAGATTTACTATTACTAGTATTTTTACAAAAGTTGCTGTTTGCTATACAGTGCCTATTCTTACCCATCTACCTTTAGAGCAAATGATAATGAACTGCATATGATTGTTGCATATAATGTAATAAAATATACAGCTCTTGTAGCATTGTCATGCAAGAAAGTTATAAATGTAATTTTGTGAGATTGCTGCTGCTAATATTTATACTAAGTCAATGTCTATTCTATTGTCGGTTTCAACCTACCACATGCTGTTTTTAACAAAATATCTGAAGTATCGCCCTGAAGTATTCACTCATCTGTCACTCAAGGATGAGTCAGGAAGCGTATTATAGTAAAACAAAAAATGATAAATTTATTGAGTGCTTAATACACAATATAGTTATTCATAACCATATAAAATTATTAAGAATAATGAAATTGAATAGCAAGCTTCTTTCAACTTTCACTTCAACACATTGAACAGTTCCCTGGGGAGAAGTTCTTCTCTCTTTTTTTTTTTTTTTTTTTTTTTTTTTAGTATTTTTATTTTCTTTAAATTTTATTTTACTTTTTAAAAAAGCCATTTTCATTGCCATTGTGTATGGTTCTGTACTTCAGTGGTGCATGAAGCCCTGGTGAAGGGATGTGTTTTAGATATAACAAGCCTTATTTTGGAGGTGTTTAACATTACTTTGATTTTCTGCAGGTGCATTAATTCTTTAGTGTTTGTTTTGTTATGGAGCATTATGGCACAGAGTTGAAGGACTTCAAAACCAGATTTCACTCTTGCATTTCTCTTGAGTTGTTTGGATATTATATATTTGGTGCATTTAACTCCATAAAGTATCTTACTGAAACGTGAGAAGTTGCATGTTCTCAGTCACTCTGTATGCTTTTACAGGCTAATCCATGATCTTGTGCGTTAAAGGAAATAAAACGACTGAGAATTCCTAAGAAGTTTTTTTTATTTAATACCAAAGGATATTTAGCGTTATCGTGGCTGATATAAAGTCCTAAACTGATTTGTCTCAGCTTTGCCGTTATCTGTATCATTTTTTAAAGGTATACTTTATAAGCATATAAGGTTTGTTTATTGTATTTTTGTTTACAGGAGGGTTTAAATGGCAACTTTCATGTTGGCTCTAACACTGTTTACAGAAACAGATGTGTGTTGTACTGTTGGGCTTGCTATAAAAATGTGTGTGTGTATATATATGTAGAAGCTTTAATGAAAGGAGATCGTTCTGTTAATTATTTTCTATTTGCTGTTTTTAAAGTGATGATCTCTTGTTTTCTTCTAGCATCAGATAATAGTCAGCGATTTCGAGAAACCTGCTTTGCATTTGCACTGACACCACAGCAAGTGCAGCAAATCAGCAGTTCAATGTGAGTTTGATCAGTAATACAGTATTTAAATAAAAATAAATAAGGAACTAGCTCACCATATCTTTCATTTTGAAATGTGATCTTAAGGAACACAGAGGTGTGTTTAGTGCCTCAGAGAATACTCTGCTGAGGGATCCTTTTCTCCTTTGTAAGCTGATGAAGAGTAAAAGGGTGAGGAAGAGAGAATTAAATACCACCACTGTCCAGTGAGTATTGGGCAGGTTTCTGCTGTACGAAGCGCTGTACAAATGCGTAACTCTCCTTCTTGCAGCCCTTTCTTGTCATCAGTCAGATCCTTTGTCAAGTTCTGTGTTTATTCACTATAAAGATGGTATTTCATAGTGACCCATCAGAATTTTCTTTATAGTATACTAGAAAAAAGAAATGGTGGAGATCAGTTGCGAATTTGATTTATTTATTTAATTTGAAAAATAAAACGTGTACCTTTTGGTGTGTTTTGAGAGTGGTGGTTTGACCAGGAGGAAAGTATGCTATACACTATGTATATTGGAAGAGTGATTGAGATATATATAGATATATATACTGGAAAGAGTGATTTAGCAAAATCTTGAGAAAATATTGAACCTGTTGTTAAAACATACTGTTTATACCTGTGTTCTGTTATTTCCAGGGATATTTCTGGGACCAAATGTGACTTCACAGTGCAGGTCCAGCTAAGGTATGTATTTGTATCACCTGTTCTTGATGCTGTTGTTTTTTTAAGAGATATCAGATATAAACCACCCAGCCGATCGGGCTTTCCTTTATGGAGAAGAGTCTCATTCTGTTGTTTTCTTGAGAAAAGCTTGCTCTTGGCTGATTTGAGAAGGGCAGATGTTACGACTTGCCTGCGTTATAGGCAGCTTTCCTGGAGTTGCTGGTGTCCTGATACCTGGCGTGTCAGAATACTGCACGTACTTAGCTATAGCCAGCTGATTTTCTTCAGTTAGTTATTCTCGACTGTTTGTCTACTCCTTTCTTTAACTCCATGTCTGTCAGATTCCAGGTGCCTGGGCCTTCAAAATCTATGTGCAGGGAGGGTTGTTTTGCTCCCCTTTTTTGAGAGCAGCAGCCCCTTGGGCTCAGCTCCGTTGAATAGCTGTACCCTCATGTGATGGTACATTTGCATGGATGGGGCAGGTCCCCTGGGAGAAATCGAGTGGAGCTGAGAGGCTCTTTTTGGTCCTTTGCCTATTGTCTGTGATCTTGGCCTACACACATTTTTGTACGACAAGGAAGGGTGTGTCTTCTTTTGGTGCCAGCAGCAAATAAGCCCGTCTGAACTTAAGTAAATAAATAAAACTGTCTGACTGTAAGAGGCTTGACAGAGGCACAAGGACAGCATTTGGTGCTGTGGCTAAACAGTTGTCTGGGTTATTGAAACTAGAGGAGGTACAGTTGAAGAAACTGTATGTTTTGTCCTTTGTGAAACCCTGGTCTTGTATCAAGAGCTCAGACAGGAGAAATGGTAGGAAAGAAATTTGGATGCTCTGTCTTTTGTAACAGGAACCTGTGTAGCTGAATGAGTCAGTCAGTCAGAGGAATTCAAGAAATCTGAGGAGGAACCTACAGCCATCTTGATCCAAACCTATGATTTTGGGGGGGGATTTCCTGCTTAATGATCGATACAGCTAATCTGGGGACTGTGTTTAGCAGATTTGTCATGCCTTCCCAACTCAGTAGAAAAAAAAAAAATTCCTTCTAGGAAGAGATGATCTTTAAATCACTTTAGAAGTGAAAGATGATGGAAGCTCTTTGCTTTTAGGTTTTGTTTATCAGAAACCAGTTGTCCACAAGAAGATCACTTCCCACCCAATCTGTGTGTGAAAGTAAATGGGAAACCATGCAGCCTTCCAGTAAGTAAGATGCTATTTTGATGTACATATTTGGATAGCGCTGTTAGGAACTGTCTGTCAGAAATTAGCCTGAGAATTTATCCTAACCTTTGTTTTCACATTTTGGAGCATTTGAATGTGAAGATGGTTAAATGAATGGAAAAGAGAGTTAAGTAAATTGTTTCTCAGGAGATCAACCAGTAGGTCCAGAAGGTTAATTTTCAAAAAACGTGACGGTAAGTTTTAATGTTTGACAAACATCCAGTGGGTCTGGCTGAAATTGAATTCTGTTTTGGAGGTTGTCTGTGCAGGGAATAGACTACCACTGACCAATGGGACTAAAGAGGAAAATGCCAATTTACAGTCCTGGGTCAGTGCACAGGATTAGAGTGCGCAACATTAACCAGGCAGATTGAGTAACAGTACTGAGAAAGGAGAGGTGGCAATGGTGCCTTTTAGTGTTCTGTGGTCAGGGTTAGGATTTGGAAAGTGTGAGGCTCAGTGTAAAGAGAAAGGGCTTGTAAAACGCCTGATACTTTCTTGTCTGATATATATATATATAAAAACATATTTATATATCTCTCTTTAAATTGATGAGGGACCCTGGTTCAGGTGAGAGACAGTTTTTACTGGGACAGGGTTGTGGAGAGGGGGAGAAAGAGAAAGCAGTATTTTTTTTTTTTTTTTTTTTTTTTTGCTGAGGGGAAAAATACTTTGATTTCTAGGGCTATCTTCCACCAACCAAAAACGGTGTTGAACCAAAGCGACCTAGCCGACCAATCAACATTACCTCACTCGTCAGATTGTCTACGACGGTACCAAACACAATCGTTGTCTCATGGACTGCGGAAATTGGAAGAGTAAGTAACTTTGGTACATAATGCTGTCTATGGCTTATTAGTTTCTGCTTTGGCATCTGTTTGAAAGATTTGAAAGATAAGCAAGTTTGTGCAGAAGATACTTCATGTTTTAGCAGCAGACTGTTCCTTCTTTTGATTGTGTTACTTCATTTAGGCAGATGTGACACGCTCCTTTAGATCAGTAGCCCTCATATTTTTTGGTGCACTCTCTCCCTATTCACCCCCATGCCCCCACCTGCCTTTGTTGATTCAGTGAGGGCCCAAGGATTGAGACAGCCTGTAAAACCTTTTTTTGGTTGTTTGTCTTAACTTCAGACTTCAAACTTCCTGATTTTAGGGACCTGACAAATGTTATCTTGGCTTCAACTTGTAACTAGCATGGGACACTCAGTACAGACTGGTCTTTTATAACTGTGTAAATGTGGACACAGAGCACAGCAACTCAGCAGGGCCCAGGAGATTTAATTTGCCTTTTTTACATTTCTGTTCTCACAACTGCATTCCTTATACTTAATATTTAAAAAGTCATGTTTTTATAACTTTTTTGTGTCTGTGGGGAGAATGTTACAATTGGTATTATAAAATTGCTGATGTTCCACTGGACTAATTAAATCTGGAACATGCTGCAAAAAGTTACTTCAATAAATTAGTCTGTGAATTAGTGCGCTGCTCTCACTGGTGGCAAAAAACCTGCTAGATATGCATTCCAGAGTCAACACGTACTTGAAAAACGGTGGCTTTGCCATTGCAACCGTCCTGTTTTCAGAAGTCCCGAGAATCGTCCTGAGATGAAACCTTGTCCAAGAATTTGTCAGTGTGCAAAGCCCGGGATTCCTGAACCAGTGTGGAAAAATGCTTACAGCCCAATCATGCACAATAGCCAGTTATAAAACATCACGATGGTATTTCATGATGGATTTCTTGTGGAGCGTAAAACAGTCTCCGTTCAGATGATAGAATAAATGATGGCTGAATGTTTTGGTTTTTTTTTTAACCTTCTTTTATCTAACGAGAACTGCAGGTATCAGAAATAAGCCTTTTAAAATGAACCTATGTTGGTTTACATTGCAGAAGTGCCTTCATGCGAGTTGATATGAATCCTGGTTATTGCTCTGAACACACTGCTGCACTTTTCCTTAAGGATACCAGTGAGGATTTAGGGAAAAGAAATGTCACAAGCCTGCGTGGACCCTAGGCTAGTCTCTTGTGAAGTAGCTAGACTCTCAGGCTTCATAGATATTTCAGTTATAAAAGCCATATTGGCTAACTTCTAGCTTCCAATACAAAACCAACGAGAGTGACAAATTCTCAGTGTATTTCATGAGATTTAGATGCTAGTCAGAAGTTCCCCACTCATGAGATGTAATGCATCCTAAAGCGATTGTTTGAGACCTTGACCATTAAATGTGAGGAATTGTTTTATATTTGGATGTGCCTGTATAGTACAAAATTGGAGTTCCCCCTCATCCCCTTTTCCTTTAAGAGTCAGTTGTATGTCTCAACTGGTGTGCTCTACCTTTCCTGAAGGCATAATTGTGATTTTTACACAATCTGTTTCAAGAGCCTTCTGTACAAGATGCCTTGGGCAAGTTCCTAGCTTTGTAGATTCAAGCTGTCGGTAAATAATTTCACAATGTTAATTAGCATTTTTCTAACTTCTATACTAATTGAGGCATTAAACAAACAAGTTAAAGCAGTAGTGGTTTTTAACGATGTGAGAAGCATTCATTGTAAGAATAAAATATTTAGAATGTGGTGTTTCTGATGCTATTTCAGTTTATGTAATCTTGTGGTAAGATATGTTACTGAAATCCCATCTTTGGATTCTGGTGGCATCCTAAATAAAGGATGGTAGATGTCACAATTGTATGGATTTTTTTGTTAGTGGAAACATACATGGCAGTTGCTGGGGGAGGTCTTTAATTTTTCCGTTTGAAGTGTATGAGTGCAGCTACAGGTTTAGCGAATACTGTTTATAACAAAAAGTAATTGATGTACCCTAATGCGAGAACACAAATTTTGTCCTTTCCATTTTGGGGGTGGGGGGAGCGAGAAGGGTGTTGCTGATGAATGCGTAGTACAGTATCACATTTTTAGAAAGACAGTTATTGCCTGCTGTTGTTGTTAGCTTACAAGAAAAATGAGAGCTTCACAAATCTCAGACTGTGGTTTGAAATCAGTTAGCGATGCCAGGAAGAGCACTCGGCCGCTCCTGCTCGCCCCTTGGGGGGGGAAGGCTTACCCTGCTTTCGGGGGAGCTGATGTTCGGTCCACATCTGACCTGCTTGTATGGCAAATGATTTTCTGTAGTGGCAGAAGCGAGCATCTGTGGCTTTTTGCTCACACCGATAAGGAATATTTGCATGGTCCGTTCAGTTGAGACTGTACGGGGGAGTGACTTAACCTCTTCCAGAGGGGAAGGGCAGACAGTTGGCAGTGGTGACTTTTTGCCCGCTCCGGTTAGATTCGCTGGAGTACATCCTGGCCCCACTGAACTCCTGAACTCTTTAACTGCCTTATTTCTGGTAAGCTTCGGCAGTGAAGTTAGCATTTCATAGACAGTGAGTTTGGGAAGATAAGGGAAACAATGTTGAACAGTGCTTCCAGACTGAGTAGGGAATACTGCAGATTATGCATCTTTTTATGTATTGCTTTTGAAGAGGCATCAGTGCTGATTTTCTTATTTTAAAATGAAATAAGCTTTTATTTAAAAAAAAAAAAAAAAAGTTTTGGTCATATTTGACCTGACAACTTCCCTTAAATGTATTGACACAACTGTAGTACCTAACATTATTGATGTAAAATTACCCTTCTTAAGTGGACTGTAGACTGCCTGTCCTGAGTTAAATGTAGAAGTTCCAGAAGTGTCCAAAATGCTGGTTTTACAGCTTGGTTTGCAGCTAAGTCTACTCTCAGTGAAGCGTGAAGTCACTTTTGTTGCATCTCTGAAACTCCAGTCCTGTGAACTTGCTGAAGCACAATGGGTTTTCTCGGGTCTGAAAGCTTTGCCATCTAAAGTCTTGCTAACTGCTTCAGAAACACAGTGGCCTGTAATCACATAACAAAGTGCATAAGCATTGTATAAAATACAAGCTGTCTTTTGATTAAAACAGTTTTTACTTTGATCTTCTGTTCTGTTTTCCAGAGCTATTCCGTGGCAGTCTATCTTGTAAAGCAGCTGTCCTCTACGGTGTTACTGCAGAGGTTGCGAGCAAAAGGAATACGGAACCCTGATCATTCTAGAGCACTAAGTATGTCTGATGTACTACTTGTTTAAAAAGGGAAAAATAGCTTTTGTAAAAGGATATTTGAAATAGGACTGTGCTAACTGAGGTTTGGACTTCCTACAATTCTCTGGGTTTTGAGAATCTGATAGTGGTGTTCTTTGTATTCGGTTCCAATTCAAAGACTCAGAGGCCTTTGTTTGTACTAGGAGCCAGTCCAGGAACCCTGTTGACACTGTGAAGGGAAAAATGCAAGAGAATCTCTTTCAGTTCAGCCATACTGGCTTTGTTTCTTCAGAACAGAACAACTGTATTTATATAGTTAACTGGTAATTCAGTACCTCAAGCAAGCTGAACTAAATGCCTGATACTGAACCTTGATGCTGACATGCTGGAGGAAAGTCTCCATCAACATAGTTTTTGTTCCCTTGGCACGGTGTTGTGGAGTGAGCTCCTGGAGAGAGAGAGTGTCTAGCACAGTACTCCTCCCATCCCCCTTCCAAATTAAGTGTGAGGTTTGCTGCTTTATTGTTTTCTCTGACGAGTACATGTTGCTATAAGTTTGTACAATAAAAATGCAAGCAAAGACTGCTGCATGTTTCCTTTTCAGGGAGAGGGTGAAAATACCAGCACCTGACAGCTGCTGGTCAGACTCCTTAATGCTCAGCTAATGTGCACTGTATGAGAGAACAGGAGCTTCTCCAGAAGGGAAGAAAATAGCCCCCCAGTAAATGCTACAAAGCTAGTGGCATATAGTGCTGGACATAAGCTTGTGCTAATGCAGTATGATGGTTTAAATGCACAAAAACCTAGAGAGTTTCCAGGTGGCCACTGCTCTGTGTACACAAGGCGAGAATGAGGGTCTAGGTTTGGTTCATGGGGCAGGAAGAACGTGCAACTGACTTCCTCATTTAACCAGTGACTGCTTATAAAACAGTCCTTCTAAGTAAAAGTAGGGGATGGGTAGAGATGAAAGACTTCTGCAGTGCTAATACTCCCTGCAGTTATTTAAAATTCAGATTTTGTCAGGGTGCTTCTGATTTCCTATTTCCCAATTTGCTTTTCAATTTTAAATCACAGGATTGCTTGACGAGTATTTCAGAGGTTTACAGTGGTGCTTGTCCATGTGAGAGTCACAAACACATTTTTTTCATGTGCTTGAAGTTAACAGTCAATTCAATGTGGCTCATCTTGGGAGTAAATTTTAAATAAGTGTCAAGTACAAAGTTGCATGTATATGAAAAAAGGCATCTCTGTAAAAATACATTTTCTAGAGATCTTGGTTTAAGATGAGCTTTTCCTGCTTTCCACTTTCTTAAATCTTGTCGTTTATGATCTTTCTAGAGAGTAAAGACTGCTTACGTGAGTCTGAAACAATAGTCGCTGCTGCTTGCTTCCAGTAGATATGGCAAACTGAAAGTTGAGCATACAGTTTCAGATTTGTTTTATTTATCATCCATTTTGTGTTTTAAACCAACTGTAAAACAAACCTTTTCTTCTTTCAAATAACAGTTAAAGAGAAACTGACCGCCGATCCAGACAGCGAAATAGCAACAACAAGCTTAAGAGTTTCTCTTCTTTGTCCAGTAAGTTTTGGTTTTTGTTTTTGTTTTGTTTCCTTAAATTCCCTCAGAAGTGATTCTGGTCGAAATGTGGCTCTTCTGGGACACGCATTTGGTAGAGGTTAGCTTGTGTTTATCTGTGTGTTAACTTTGTGGGGCTAGGATCCAGTGCTGAAGTTATCTGTACCTGTGCTTATATCATGTGCACGTGATATACCCCTGAGAAAATGAGTATTCTGTTCACTTGAAAATTCAAAATTATATGTAAGCATACATTTAAATCTGTCATTAGATCTGTGGGTGCAGTTTGGGTCCTTGACTGTGATAAAACCACTCTCAGTGGTAAGGTAGGTGAATCTTAACTATTTAAAATAGCTCTTCAGTCATTATCTGCAGTCAAAGAATTGAGCATCTCTTAACTGAAGTTGATTATATGCATGTATACACTTTGAGTATTTAATAATATTAGATTAAAAATGAAACAGTGTCCTAGAGGTAGTTCAAATCCAAATTTGATGGGAGAATACTGTTCCAATGAATGTGGAAGCAGCAGAGACGTACTGCATCTTGACCTACTAACTGTTTTTAACCAAGCAGCTGCAGAGATAAGCAGTAGTTTATACCTTACTTTATCATTGGTAAACTGCACAATATTAACATTAAGTGCACTCTTTTTAATCTTTGGGACTCAGTGCTCTTTTTTTTTTCCAGTACCATGCACCTTCAGAAAGCTTGCTGTCTCTGTTGATTGACAGAGTATCTTCATTGCAGTATAACCTTTTAACCTCTTTTCAAGATTAAGGATGCATCTGTTTCCTGCTTTGGCTCAATCTGCTCAAGTTTGACACAAAATTGTCAGTTTTGAAATCTAAAGGAGAAAGCTGACTTGATTCGTGCAAAATTGAAGCTTATTTCTCAAGTGATTAAATATGTTCTTTATCACTGTAAAGATAAACTTTTAGATATATAAGCTTTGCTTTGTAAAAAGCACAGTGGACATTGTGGTTCCTTTTTATATATGTATTAAGTTATTGTAAATCTTTAAATGTGATATTTTCACGATCTTCAATCTTTAGACTTTCTCCATATCAACATTGATGCTAACTACACAATAACACATTTATAAGGAAGATAAAACTTATCTGTAAGAAAGATACACGGATTAAATTTACAAAATAAAATCCTGATCTGTAAACTTAGAACCTCATAACCTATAATCTTGTAAACCTATGAATTTATGTGTCACATCGAAACTGCTGCGGATTTGGAACGCAGAAGTGTCTCAAGTCCACACCTGGCACCTTATTTTGCTGAGTTGTTACAGCTGAATTTGTGTTGCGCTGTTAGCACTTCGTTATTCTAGAAAGCACAACGACAGTTGTGTTGGGTTTTTTGTCATTCTTTAGGCACAATATTCTTAGCGCTTAAAATTAGTTTCCAATACAGACAAAAATAGCAATCTGTTAGTAGGAATTAAATGGCTGTAAGAATTTAGAAGTGCCTATGTATTAATTCCTTATCTTAAGTGAATCTTCATGCATCTTCTGGAATTATGGCTTTTTACCTCAGTCGTACTTGATTTGTCAAAACTGCCACTTCAGGCAGTTTTCTTGTTCTTATATTTGTCCTGATTGTCTCCATTACTGATAAAAGTTCTTCTGCAGTGCTTTTAGGTGCATTTTTTTTCCCTTTATCACTGCGATTCAGATGAGTTAGTATTAGAGCAGGAATATCCTCTACAATAATGCTTTTAGGACTGCATGTTTTCTAAAGATGTAAAATTCTATTTTGCTTTCTCAGTTCTGCTAGGGTTAAACACAAAACAGCAGCCAGACATTAGAATGTAGCTCTTCAGAAGTCCTACCTTTGTCAGTATTTCCTCTTTAAAATTTATTGCTTTTCTGATAGGGATACAAAACAAAGTCTGTAGCAGATTATTTGGAGAATATTTGTCTCTGTCATTTTAATAACGTCTACAAAACCTGCACGCTTGACTTTTTTTCCAGTATGTTCCTCGTTCAATGCTGTCTGATTTCACTGTAGCTCTTGGAACAATCCATCATTGCAAAGGCTCGTTGGGACAGAGACAGCACCTTTCAACCTGTCCTATGAACAGAAGGGTTATTAGCACGATCCAGGCTGTCCTCGGGTCTGAAGGCAATTTTATTATAGCCCCCATATTTTTATTTCCTAATTTGTAAACGTTTGGCTCGGGGAGAATTTTTCTGTAAATATTTTGTGCTTTCTTTCTAACGGTTGAATGGACAGGGTATGCTTTGAAAGTACACACTGAAAATGCTGATTTCGTCTCCAACAACAGAACCAAAAATTAAAGAATGATGCATCTTCAGCTCTGTTAATGTGAGGGTTCTGTTCTCCCACCTCATTTGTTGTGGGTGTAATTCTCATGTGTGTATACTTCAATAAAATAAATGGAATTGCGTATCTCCATGGGCATGGCAGGTTTAGACTTTATAACCTTTATTTTGCCCTCAAAAAAAGTGCAGTGTGAGACAGCATCCTCTGAATTTGTTTTGGATTGCTGCTGAGCTTTTTTTAGCACAGAGGCCTGCTCTCCCTCCGAGACTGTGGAGTGCAGAGAAAAAGCTGTCCTTAACTATTGGCTGAATCTATCTAAGATACAGCAGGCAAATGGGCTGGACTGAGTCTGTATTTCAGGAAGACACTTGAATTCATGTTCTTTTTTTTTTTTTTTTTTTTTTCCCCTTGAAATAAAAATAAATAAATCCACAAGCTCTGCTGACGGACCGAATACTTAACTGAACAAAAATTCCAAATCTAGCATTTTACTGTAGGTTGTGCAGCTTTGTTTACAAATCCTTCACTCCTGTTTTGGGTGCTTTTTTTAGCATGAAAAGATAGCGATGTTTTGTACGCTTGTAAAAGAAATTAATGCAGTGTTTCTTTGGCTGCATACAGGCAGGAATCAAAACAGTAACAGTGTTGGCAAACACAGTTTTTCAAAAGTTGGGACGCATCCCTTCTTTTACGACCTTTTCTTTTGTCAGTTCTGACACAGCTTGGCCAGTATGGCAGAGCTGATCCGGGAGGTTCAATGCCAAAAATGGGAAAGGAGACATCAACTTGTTAACGCTGAGTACGCTGATTCTGGCTGCATGCGTATGGCTTCCGTTAAATCCGACCGCTGCTTAGAAATTAGAGCCACAGTTTTTATACCAAAAGCTTGTGAAAATGTTTCTGGCTTAAATCTGCCTTTTTTTTTTTTGGTCAGGAGACAGGTATTTATGCTCTTCCTGCAGCCTTCCTTCATGTCTTCAACCTTCCTTAGTTTTATTTTGCATCACATAGAAGCATCCAGGTTTTCTCTGGTACTCTTACTCTTGATCCTGGCTCAGCTAGGAGACTCATATTGTGCCCAAAAGACAAATGAGCCATTGACCTACCATCTGGGAGATAAGAATTCATAAAATCCATGGATCAGGGGGCCTTGCTTTGTTGGGGGTTGATTATGTGATAGAAATAATGTGCTTGGTCATGGATTTGGGGGGAGGGGGTGCCAAACACATGGCACGTACAGCACCTCCTGCTGTCTGAGATCCCCAGCACCATCACTGCAGGCTCCCCGGGGAGTTTGCTGCTCCCCTCCCATCTGGTGGTGAGGTTTGTGACAGTGACCGAGAGCCAGAGGGAAGAAAAATAAGCAATATCCTGCAGTCTAGCCGAATTTCCTGGGAATGGGGTGGAGGGATTTCTGCTTCTGGGGGACGCAAAAAAAGAAAAAGCATCATGGAGGAAGTAGTGGACTGTGAGTAGGGCCTTTGTTCGTGATATTGTTTTTTACTTTTCTGATATTCTGAGATGGAGTGCCATCCTGTGGCACCCATCTTGCATTGCTCAGAATCAGTATGCATGACCACGGCGCTTGCTTAAGCCGTTCTAAAAACAGTTCCTCCTACTATCCACTGCTAGAATTGGCTGAAGGTTTTCAAATGAAGTCATCGTGCATATTTTAGTCAAATATATATAACTTCAAAATACTCAGTATAAATAGTTCTTAATAAATAATTGTTTTGTTGTTTTTTAATGTGGGAAAAGTCTTGTTTAGACATTCCTACTTTTTACCTTTAGTGTGGTCAGTTAAAGCCTCTCCTAAACTACAGCATAAGCACTTTGCCAGAAAACAACTGCTTGATTTTTTGGGGGGGAGAGGAGACTTTTTTTGCTTCAGATTAATACGAAATGCCTCTCACCATCTAATCAATTTTGCATTAAATATGATCACACGTTAATGTTATGTGGTCTGGATTAGCACTGATTTATCCAATCCAAACTCCAATGTTCCCGTTCTACAATTTAGCCTAAACACTCACTGTGTTTAGCACTCCAGCGTTATCTGCTCAGCATAAGCACTCAGCTGGGCTTTTTGTATTAAACTTGTGGAAGCTTTGTGCTGGCCTGCAAAACCTCACTCTCCTGGCCTTCCTACAGACTCGAAGGAAAGGATGGTCTCCGCCTGAAAGTGTACTTTAGAACTCATTTTCTCCTGCTTCATCTTTCATTAACATTTGCAGGCCCTATGTAGTGTTGAAAAGGTGCGATGGTATTTATTAGGGGATGGTCAGCTATTTGTATTTTACACAGAAAAAAGGCAGTGAAATTTCAGGTTAGCTCACAACTGTATACGTAGCAGTGGTGTTAATTGCAGCAGGAGGAGTATAAAATAGTTTCTTAACAGTTACCAGGTGTGACTGATTTGTGAGTAGTCACTGACAGTTCTTTGGAGAAAGTAGTGAAAATGGAGTTAGAGAAACGCATCAGGAAATGATCCGTAATCCTGCAAATGCTTTTTCTATATGCTTGCTTCTGTGACTGTAAAGTTAGACAAGTAGTTCTGGTAGTGCCCTGCTGAGTGAAGTGCAGACAGCAGCTTGAATACACACTTGAACTGAGAGTGAATAGGAGAGGACTGACCCATGTTCATCAGCTTTTGAAACACTGATGAAGAATTCTTTTTTGTGGTTCGTCCAAGACACTGGTATGTTACAGGTGCTCAGTGGACTCTGAATTTTGTTAAAGGAATATGAAAGGATGTAGTCTTCAGTTTCCTTGATCAAATGTAGTTAAAAATGTGATTTTTAGTAGTTTTCATGTGATAATCAAACCTACAGGAAGGACAAAACGGTGCATGTGGCATGTATTTTAATCAAAACTTGGATTTGTGAGAGTTTTTTCTGGAGTAAAATTCAACCTGTCTCTGTCTCTCTTCAGACAGAAGAGCCCTGTCTGTTAATTTAATACTAAGATGATAAAATCCTGGTTTTCTTTTTTTTTTTTTTCTCTTAAAGCTTGGTAAAATGAGGTTAACCATACCATGTAGGGCCTTGACCTGTTCACACCTGCAATGTTTTGATGCCACTCTCTACATTCAAATGAACGAAAAGAAACCAACCTGGGTTTGCCCTGTCTGTGACAAGAAGGCTCCCTATGAACATCTCATTATTGATGGGTAAGTAAAACTGGAATCAAAATGAGGAATATACCTTATGCTCTCTGCTTACTGTTCTTGTGCTGCACAGAATACAGTGCTCTGAAATCTTGGTTATCTGGCTGTGACCTGTTTTAAGTTACCATGTCCTTCCATTTCCCTGCTCTTGGTGAAAAATTACTAACCAGGTACCTCTTCATTCGGTATTCTGGAAGAATTGTGGTCATAATGAAAGGTATTCCTTAAAATCCTAGGTAAATTTTTGATCTGTCTGACCTAAAACAGTTGTGATTTTTTGTTTGTTTGTTTGTTTTCCTTGTGGTTTGGTTTTGGTTTTGTTTTAATATTCCATAGTGCTGGATCCCTCAGTGAAAACAGCACTTGTTGTCTTTTCTTTTGATGGAGCAACTGCACAAATCTGGCATAGTTGGTAGCAGACATTCATGTTAGATCAAATAAATACTGCCCCCCCCCCCCCCATGCATGTACAATTCCAAGGGGAGCTGCTGTGTATAGAAAGTGGCATAGAGATTGATTCCCTGGTACTGCCTACCTGCAAAACATTAAATAAATCAAAAAATCAATCTGTTACGGGTCTCCATGAAGAAATGCCAAGTATGTGTTCCTGGGTTTGCATTTTAATTCCTTAGGTAGGAATCTTCTTTCCAAAGTGTGATAAAGGAAGAGAACAAGTCAACTCTTCTGAGAATACTTTCAGAATGTTTTACTCAAACCCATAAAAAACTGCACCAACCAACCAACCAACCAAAAAAAAAAAACAAAAAAACAAAAAAAAAACCAAAACAGAACAAACAAAACCCCAAAAAGCAAAACTGAAAACCCTGAAATGAACAGAACCCCCGAAAACCATCTCACAAATGATGGAGTCTTTTTTAGTGAGTGTGTGCTTTGTTTTGGTGACCTGCTTAGTGAAGCATAAGATGGCTCGGGATCCCCTTGAAGGCTTGCAAAAAGCCCTTGAAGAGACACTTGGGGCTCACACAGGCTGGTTTGGATTCATGGACCCTGAGATTTAAAGGTCCTGTGCTTTGGATCAAAGAACTGTGGGGTTCTTGTTCCAGGTTTCAGCCTAAAATAGTAAAGACTAAGTGTAGTAATAATTAACGCATTTTCCTCATTTCGTGCATTCCCAAAGAGAAGGTTGTTTCTAGAAAATGTTTCAATCTGGGAAAGAGTGAATTTTCTTACTAATTAAAGCAAAGCTCTTTTCTGCACAGAACCACATGAATAGTCTTGGTCAAAAGCTGGAATTCCCACTGGGAGTGGTGTGGTGCCAGGATCCTAAAAGTTTTAGGAAACACAGCTAGGAGAAGAGGCTGCAAGTTTAGATTCACATGCTCAGGTTCTGTTAGGAAGTTTTTGCTTATAACGAGGTTTCAGGAAGTATTAGTCCTTACATAGCTATATAGACTCCTTTAAGATATGGGCATCCTCAGTTACCCATATTTAGCTTTGATAGTATTTAAGAAGGAGATTATATTTTTTTAATCCTAGTTCACATTATTCCTTCATTTTGGGAAATGGAGCGTTCTGTGTCACGAGCTCTGCGGGATTCCACTCTTGTAGTTCTTCTAAGTGAATCTGCAGATTTTTATTTTACATAATATTTTTGAATTTTCAGTGACTTCTTTTTATCAAGGAAGCAGATGGGGGAAGGGTAGAACAATGAAAGCTTTCAACTCTTTTTAAACACCAATTCAAACTTCCACTGACTAAGAAAAATATTGGAGGAAAAAAAGGAGTTAAGCTGTTTTGGAGGACTGCTAATAATTGTTTTTGATTGACAGGCTGTTCATGGAAATCCTGAAGTATTGTACAGATTGTGATGAAATTCAGTTTAAGGAGGATGGATCGTGGGCCCCAATGAGATCGAAGAAGGAGGTGCAGGAAGTAACTGCATCTTACAATGGAGTTGACGGTAAGTGGTGTTTTGGGGTGTATGGACTGAGTGTCATACTGTTGAACTGTTAAGTATCGACGTTCCTTTATCTCTTCAGAGGGTTCATTTTTGCATGTGTATTTGTAGCTTTCAATGATCACTTGTGAGAGAGATTGAGTAATACCTGTTGGGGGCTGATGGTACTTTTAAGTTATCGACGTTACGTAATTTTGTTGTCTTATCCTATGTGGTAAGCTTTATTTCTGAAGACATATAATAAGCTGTGATGTTACGATGATTGTAGTGTTGTTGTAAGCTACAGCTTATAATGTTGACTTTACTTTGTATAGGATGCATAAGCTCTTCCTTGGAACATCAGGTGTCTTCTCACCAACAGTCAAATAAAAATAAGAAAGTAGAAGTGATTGATTTAACCATTGACAGCTCATCAGATGAAGAGGAGGAAGAACCATCTGCAAAGAGAAGCTGTCCTTCCATATCTCCAGCATCACCGTTAAATAATAAGGGGTGAGAATAAAACGTATAAGCCGATGCAGAAAGAATATACTCGCGATGGAGAGTAGTAACAAACTTCAGAAGAATTAGTGTCTGGAAAGTTCTGTATTTTGTATTATGTGCTAATTTAGTAGCTTATAGCAAATGGATTTGATCTCAGGTCACAAGGCCTGAGAAGATTGGAACAACAGCTTTGAGATGTGAAGTGCTTAACACGATACGTTTTTTCAGTTGTATTTGTGAAAATGAGTGTAAACTGGCGCAAAAGGTTGTGGCTTAGGAGTATGTTTTTTGCCAATCTGGGAATGTTTTTCTTCCTTAGAGAAATATAAAAGCAGCGCAAAGGGAGAGAGAGAGCAATGAGAAACATGGGTGTGGTATGGGAGTGTGTGGGTTTTGCCGGTGATTGCTGCCAGTAGCATACTAATAAAGAATGCCAGAATAACCTGATCACACCTAAGCAGCCAAGCTGTTAATAGCACCCCGTTTACATAAACACGCAGGGATGAAAACTGAGGCTAAACCGAAGGGATCCTGTTGTTGAAGTGATTACTACTCCAGTAATGTAAATGACTCGGTGATCGCTTAAAACTTCTCAAGACCTTTTTGGCTGTCTTCCGTTGCTAATTACCTTGTAGAGTATAAATGTGGCGGTGGTACACAGATTTATATATTTTTGGGGAGTTCGGTATACTTGCAGAATTGTCTTGTCCTGGCTTAGGAGTACTTGTAGCATATTTATAGCAGAGATCCCGCTACCGTTTATAGTGAGAGTCATCAGTTTCTGCTGTTTGAGACTGAACTTTCTTTTGCTAAACTTCAGCTGTCTCGGACTGAAATAACTTTTCTGATAAAACGTCATTGTGAGGAGAAAGCCTGGGGAACGTGGGATGCTCCTATCTCTTCCACCCCCTTCCAGTCCCTACGAGACTCATTGGGGTGCTGTAGCACCATAATGCTTTCTAGTGAAGCTCTGAAATTTAGCAGGGGAGCTGCGCACCTGTCACAAAGTTCATAATGCATATGGAGGCGTTGAATTTGTGTTAAATTTGACTTTGTGTTAGACATATGCTGCATGGGACAGCAACAGGAATCTTCAAATGCTGTTCTTTTAGCATTAAAGCCAAGACTATATTTTGCACCGGTAACAAGCCTCCGTTTCTTCCAGCATTTTAAATTTACCCCATCAAGCATCTCCCGTGTCAAGAACACCAAGCCTTCCTGCTGTTGACACCAGCTACATCAACACATCACTTATCCAAGACTACAGGCATCCATTCCATATGACACCTATGCCTTATGACTTGCAAGGTGAGCTTCTGACTGTGCATAGCTGTAAGTACAGCTCTCCGAGCAATAATATCGTAAAAGGATTTAAACACGCAGTCGTTCGATGGCCCACTGGTGGATTTTGCGTCCACCGAGGACGGGATGGTATTTAAAAAAAGAAGGGAAAATTTAGGTTTTAAAAGGTTGTTGTTTTGCAAGCTCCGGTAGTGAAGAGAATCTGAAGTATCATCGGTATTACGCTGGTTTTATTTTAAATAAATGGTGGAAAAATGGGGAGGTGCTTTTTTTGTTTTGAGAAGCTTAATTTTTTTCTTTGGCTCTTTACAGGTTTAGATTTCTTCCCTTTCCTGTCAGGAGACAATCAGGTAAGTCAAGGAAAATGAAGTCATATGGCAGATACTTTTTTCTGGGAAGGACTTGCTGGCATGGATGTATAGGCAAGGAAGGAGCAGATGTATGATGTAGGTGTAAATGCAGGCAGGCTGCAGCTTTATTTGATACACATAGAAGCTGTGACCAAACACAAGCATTGTCTAAATAGGGGTGTAGGATAATGCCTAACAAAAGGTAAACATTTCTGTTTCCAAGGGTTAAGCTCAGTCAGGCACTGCTGGATTGTGGAATGACCCTTGGCCGTGGCTGAAGGGCCACCAGCCACCTCCGTTGTTTTTCAGCCCTGAGGTCTGACTTTGGCCACCGGACAGTGCTGGGCCCCACCGCTGGGACACCTGACAGTCCTTTACACGGTTCGGAGAGACAGGGGCAGCTCTCTGTTTTTTCTGAGGCTGTGTGCCTGTTCCTACCATCTTCGCCACCTTTCTGTAAATATTTACTGAAATGGGGGAGATTGGTGCTGGCTCTTCCAGCTCTGGGAACTACACAGGTCATTCTCAAAAGGAGCCTGGGTTGGCAAGTTCTCCTACTTGATCACTTTTCCTCCTGGGCCTCCGAGGAAAGAAGGGGGCTGGGGTGGCTCTCCTGCCCTTTGCCCCTTCATGTCTGTTGTGCAATTTCAAGTGGGAGAACTTCACTAAGTAGAGAGGGAAACTTTCTTAGCATAATTCGGAACAGAGCCCACACTGTAGAATTTGGCTTCAGAAAAGCTATCCGAATATTCAGTAAAACATAAATATGAGAATTGTTCTCAAACAAGTAGTGCAGAATTCTGATGCTACGCTGATACGGCATAATTATACCAGTGCATAAATGCTGGGGAACGAGGCTGAACAGCCTGCATGTGTGTTTTGTCATAGTGGAGAGAAACATCGAGAGCAAAATTACCCTACAGAGAGAGATTGTATTTAAAATTTGATTCTCGATAGCTAAAGTTCTTGCCTATAAGGGGCTGCCCGACAGAGAGTGTAGCTTGGGACAGCCCTTGCTGCCATCCCGTGGGGCTAAGCGTGCTATTTCTAAATGCATTTTTCACAGAAGTATGCTTTCCTCCACCGGCAGTGCTTGGCACATAGTTTCACCAGCTGGGGTTGGTCTGTGACTTTTGAGTGGAGGAGAGGGATGGCAAAATGTTTCTTTCAATTTGGGGGAATTTTTCCCCCAAGGAATTTTTTGAAGAGGTAAAAGCATGCTGCTTCTTACTGTTCCTTACTGTTTTAGGTGTCTTGTGATACTGTTGCTTTTCTAGTGTTTGCTCGTACTAATACTAGTATTTCCAATTTCTTTTGGCTTCAGAAATCAGGGGCTGCAGAGGTAAAAGCTCACTGCATCGGTCCACTTACCTTGCAGAAAGGTTGAGTAGATGAGCTGGTGTGAAATCCAGAAGCTGTCAGAGCTTTAGCTTACAAATACCTTCTTTTGTGCTGGTCTGAATCAAAACTGGTGTCTGAAATGTAACTTGAAAATGTTGTTTTTCCCCCCAGCATTACAACACATCCCTTCTTGCCGCCGCAGCTGCGGCAGTTTCCGCATCAGATGATCAAGAACTCTTACACTCTCGTTTTTTCCCATACACTTCATCTCAGATGTTTCTCGATCAGCTAAATGCAGGAGGAAGCAGTTCTCTGCCAGCCACAAATGGTAGCAATAGTGGCAGTAACAGCAGTCTTGTTTCCTCCAACAGCCTGCGAGAGAATCATGGTCATCCAGTTGCAAGTAGGAGCAGCACGGACACGGCGTCTATCTTTGGTATCATACCAGACATTATTTCGTTGGACTGATTTTTGGAGTAAATGAACTTGTCAGAGGAAATCTTTGTGCTTGGTTTTACTTTATGTTAGAAACATAGACAAGTTTTTTTTCCTTTTTTAGGGAAAAAAATTTATGTGTACAGAGAACAAAAGTATATTTTCAGTTTTACTTTTGTATATAAACCTAAGATGGCCTCACTGGTAAAAATAAGAAAAAAAAAATACACAAAACAAAAAATTAACAAAAACAAGGAGCTTCAGTTCGTTTTTGTGGATGCTGAAGATTTTACACCTGTGCATTCGTCATGTGAGTTACTTCCGCCCCCCCCCCCCCCCCCCCCCCCCAGTTTGGACACAAATGGCATTATTTTCTTCACAGTAACATAAACAGGAAAGGAGCTGAACTTTTAAAGTTCAAACTTGTGAGAGGTTTTTTTCTCCTCTTGGAGACATTTATCTTTGGTGGTGGAATCTAATTCCCCCATCCCATTTTTAGCGCAGATTTTATTATGCTTAAAGTGGAATAAACCCTACCCAGGCCGTTCGTTCCACAGCATCCCCTCTGTTTGCAGGACAGAGTCTTTCAGGAGTGGGTTTTCTTTTCTGTTGGTTTTTCCTTTTTGGGATTTTTTTTTTTTTTTGGTCATTTCTGATTGTGACCCTCTATTCAGATGATTTTTATTTTTTTAAAAATTCCATGCTTTAGTCAAGCATGTTGCGAGCTCATTAGCGCACCAATTATTCTTGAGGGCCAGACTCAATAAAATCTCAGGCTGAGGAATTACTTGGCTGTGTTTATGTTGGACAAGACAGAATTTTTATAGAATCTAGCCCCGAATAAAAGCATTGTCACATTGGACTGTAGGGTTTTGTTTCTAAGAACTTACTATGAAATCCTTTGAAAATAACTTCAAGATCCTAATCAGCAAAATATTAAGCATGTGTCAATTTTAAATTTGTGGAACTGCTTGTGCTTTAAAGTTAGCCATGCCTGTATAAATGGCCTATTGAATTGAGGCCTGTCTTGTTCTGTCTGGAGAAAAACCTACTTTTAGCTGCAGTAGATCAAATTTCTGCTTAAAAGTGAACTTTTCAACAAAAGGAAGAAAACACAAATGCCGACACACTATTGCATGGTTGTGCAGCTGGTAATGGTCTCGGTACACCGTCTCCTGAGTTCACATTCATCAAAATTAATACGAAATGTTCAATATGAGTCAAACCAAAAAAACAACCCAGTAAAAAAGCCCCACCCTGTAGCCCAGGTGCTCAAACATATCGCTACCTATTGAAGTCTCATAGGGTAGTGGGCTTCAAAATGCAGTTTTCTCTTTTTGGCCTTCTGATTATTTTGATTTCTCTGATTTTTCAGTACGTTTATGTTGAACTTTGAGCCATACTTACTTTCTGGTTTCTTTCCCCCCTGCCCCCCCCTTCTCTTTTTTTTTTTTAAGTTGTGCATGACATAAGGAAATCTTTTTTTAGAACTTATGGGTCATTTGGGCTGATCCATTCTTATTAAAGAGTGAAATGTGTAAATAGCTGGAATGCAGTTTTTCAGGAGATTCTTTAGAGTAAGAGAAGGGGGAGGGAAGGAAGCGATTCTCTTGTGTCCCAAAGTCCATGTCAGAGAGAGTAAATATTTCCTCTGGTGTGAAAAATATTTTTATAACTCGTTGAAAGTGCAGGTAACAAGTTTATCAGGAAAGAGAGTTAAGGAATACTAAAATTAGCAGATTCTTGTCTGAATTTTTAATGTCCAAAACTGTTGATTGCAGTTAGTTGCTTTGAGCATTGACAAGGGCCACCTTTTGCCTATGAAGTTGTCTCAAAATCTTGCATTGATTAAAAAAGAAAAGAAAAAAAAAAGGAAAAAAAAAAAAAAAAAAAGAAAAAAAGAAAAAAAATCTTTAATCCAAGTAGCATTAGGTATTGCTGTATGATCAGTCGTATGGTTATTTGAAAGGTTCACATTATGTGGCATCAAAATTGTTTTTAGTGTTTTTACAGCATCCCTCTGCCACTAAATAGTTGACTTGAATTTTGAAAACAAATGTTTGTGTTTATATGTATATGTGTGTGTATATATGTATTTATAGATCTGTGTGTGTGAGTTAAAAGTGAGTTAAATAGTTTTTCCCATGCATGTGTATTTCATACATATCTGGCTGATATATATATTTCACCATACACCAATTTTATAATTTATTAAATGTCAGTTAAAGAAATAAATAAAAGGATAGAAAATGGGAAATACTTATTTTTTAAACTCAGTCTGATTTTGAAGTGATTAAGCCTACACTAGGAATATATCTCATACATTTTAGTCATGAATACTACTAACCTGGTAACTTCAGAGCATATGCTTTGCTGTAATCCCGTTTGTAAACCTGGAGTACGACCGCCGTCAGTGTAACGGGGGGCGCGCGCGGCCCCAGCTGCTGAAGCACCTGGAGGAAATTCGGGGGAGCCTGTGGCTGTTCCACTGACGATCGTGGCAACGTTGTCATTGACTGTATTGTTAAAGATGCCCTGAAGAGCAGCTTGTGTCACTTTTGACAATGGTATTAAAATCTTGTTAATTCACATATAAAATTAAATGTGGCGAGTGTGTGGTAACACAGCATCTGACATCTTTATGCCTGTCTTCGCTTTTGGAAAGCGAGCTCAGCCTGGTGACCTCTTCCGCTTCCTCGCGCGTTACCCCGCAGGGAAGGAAGGCCGTTCAGTTCTCCGTTGTCCTTTTTTTTTTTTTATTATTTTTTAACCTCATGGCTCTACAAAGAAGGGATGGAACCGTTCTGAAGTCCTCCTTTGTGGCATTAATCCCACAGGCTTGGCGAGTACTCCTGTTCCACGCCGGGGTGTTCCCTAGAGTTGGTGATTCCCCGTGCCTCTGACCACGGGTAGCGTGGCTCGGGGGAAGGCTCGGCCGGGGTTTCTCCACGAGCTCCCTGCGAAGGGCGGCTGCCAGCCCCGACCTCCGGTCGGTCCCGGGGCGTCGGTGAAGCATCCCTGGCGGGTGGCGGGGCTGCTCGGAGCCTGCGGGCTGCTGGCCCGGCCACCCGCTCCGGGGCTGGGGGTACGCGCCTCTCCCAACAGCGGGGTGGAAGCGGCTTCGAATCGCTCCCGGGGGCGCTTTCTGATGGGCCCTTTCCAAGAGGAAAAAAAAAAAAAAAAAAAACGCGCTAAACTCTAACCTGTGCCGCCTGTTAAAAACTTGGTCGCGCTTCCGTAGCGGTAGATGTGACAGCGATTCCGGGCTTGCCCTTTCCTCTCCGTGGCGAGGATTCGGTGAGCCCTTCGAGGACGGGATGACTGATAGAATTTCCTTGGACTCTCTCTCGGACCTGCCTCCCAACGCAGAGCTAAGGACTGTGAGGAGAACGTTTTGAAAATTAACTCTTTGTTGCAGTTAAACATTTCAGGGTTTTAAGCACATTTTAGATAGAAAGGATTTTGTTTTAGCAGTGTAACTTTTTTTGTTTGTTTGTTTGGTTTGTTTTTTTTTTGTTTGTTTGTTTTTTAACAGAGCTTAGATTTCTAACAAGGGAAAATTGCTGATGGTCCCCGAAAGTGCTGCTGTTAATTGTTTTAACTAACAAAGGGAAAAATGTATATAAGCAGATTATTAAAATTACCATTAATTCCATGAATTTAAATCTGTCATTCATTGCCTTAAAACTTTCTCTTAGTTTCCATACGGCATGCCAAACCAGTAAATGGCTTTTAAAAATGTATAGTAGACCAATGTCAGTTTGTATAAAAGTACCAAGTGAAAATATTTATTATATGCATTGGAAAAAAAAAAAAAAAAAAGGTTTACCTATTGGATGTTACCTGTTTATGTAGAAATCTTTAGATGTAATAAAATGCATTCAGTTACGTTGTGTTTCCTGGGGGGGGAGGGGGGGGGGGATGAAAAAGGGGAGGGAGGAGGGTGTTTTCTGTGGACTGGGAGTTGCAAAGGTCCCTTTTGAACAGGAATGCTCTGCTGCTGAGTGTTTTGTGGCGTGGAGTGCCTCACACTTGTCCCTGGGAGCCCCAACAATGCCGCTTTGTTCTGTGAGTGTGTGTGAAGCGCGGTGCCTTTCTGCTAGCTTTTATTTGGGTAATGTTTACCCACCCAGAGAGGGTAGGAACCGCCTGTTATGATACAGATGTGTTCTGGAGTAATCCAAAGTGATTTTGAGCTGATCAATCCCCATGACATACAAGCTTTTATATTGTCAGCAGCTGAAAGGATTTGTTAATCAACTGTTCTGGTCAATAGGGAAGAATTAAGCTGTGTGTTGGATCATTTGTAATTTGGCTATTGATGCATATTGGAAACAAATGCTTCGAAATGAACTCCTTGTTTCAGAAGCTAATTACACTCAAAGCAGTGGAGGTTTTTGCTCGCCTTCATCGCTGGTGCTTCTGTAGCAAAGGTCTGGAACAGCTCGGGGGGGGGGCAGCCCCTCCCAAAGGCACTAGTGCAGAAAGGCTCCGGCGAGGTAGGTGGGGGTTTTGTCCAAACATTGAGATTAACTGTGAACAGTTGGAAAAGAGTTACAAAGGAAATCCTGCCTTTTGCTGTCGGTCGGAACCTGTTCTTGGTTTTTCTGAGTTCTGTTGCGCTGTGCAGTGGTTTTCTGCAATGTTACCCGAGTGTCGAGCTGCTTGTAACTTTAATTTTCAGAGAAACGAGGGATTTTTTTGTTTTATTTTCTGTCTGCAGGGTAGGAAGAGCGCACAGAAGAGGGGAGGGATGCGGGAGACAGGCCTGACGTGCCGTGTCGGTTTTACATGGAGCAGAGTTCATTTGCCCTCGAAGCACCATCCTTCCGAGGGCCTGGGGTTAGTACCCTGGCAGGTCAGGAGCCCAGTCTGAGCTTTACTGGGTTAGGCTGGGACTGCCGCCTTGTGTGGGCTGCAGGCTCTGCAGCCTGGCTCCGACTCAGGGGAGGTTGGGCACAGAACTGCCATTTGTCTTAAATAATTTAAGATACATTCTGGATCTGCTCCCGTTTCTTGCGTAGCATTCGGCGTGTCATTTAATCTTCTCTGCTTTTTTTACCCCCCCGTAATAACGGATCCATGAGAATAATCCCAACTTTACCCTTCTGGAGACACTGGTACTGATTTGGAAGGGTTAAGATTGGCTCCTGCTTTGTTTTTTTGAGTTTATAAGCAGGTCTGTGCTGGATACAGTCCCGGTTGATTCCAAGTGTTGCAGCGGTGTGCGATGGTTTTGGCGGTGGCCTTAGTCTGCGGTGTTTGGGCTCTGCTGGGTGCCTCGGCAGGGGATAAATGCGATGTATCTGCGGTTGCTGTAATGATTCAATTGCTGGTCGTGTCACAAATTCACCAAAGATGGAGTTAGTTGCTGCAGCAATTAAAGATTGAGAATTAAAAAAAGGAAGGGGAGGCACGGCTGGCGGGCGGGGAAGGGGGTTCCCGTGGGTCGGAGCCCCCGCGGACACGGCGGGGAGAGCGGCTCCTGCGTACTTCACGGGTTGCTGGGTGTGCTGCACGAATGAGGTCTGCGCAGATTTCCAGTAGCCTCCCGAGGGAATCGGTCGGCTCTGTGTTGTCCCCACGTGTCATACCAGTCTGAGGACCTCGGCTAAGGCTGCCGAGACGTAGATGGAATAAGATCGGTGGCGACGGCTGCGGGTCACATTGATTTTAATCAGTCAAAGTCAAGAGAGATAGGGTGGGGTTTTTTTTTCCTGCGGTAGAGAAGCTGATTTTTCATGGCCTCTGTTTTGCCCTGCCAGGCTGTCTCTGGGAGTATGTTCTGGGCAGCTAGCCCAGAACTTGGTGACAGATATATTTACCAAGCACAGCATTTTCAGCGTGTTGCCTAAACTGCGTTTTGAACTGCACAGAAACTCGGCGTTGCAGGACCCTGCACCTTAATAAATAGTGTGAGAAGCACAAGAATGCAGACGTCTTGGCTGTTGGAGGTGCAAAGGAGGAGGAGGAGGAAGGAGACAGCCACCACAGCCCATTCCTGTGCGTGGAGACCAGTTGCTGTCCTCTGCGGCCGGTGAGCATCACGGGCTGGGGGAGCTGGGGAATTGCCCGCTTGAATTGACAGCTTCGTGTTGGGGAACGTCTGGTTGGGATCATAGCATGGAGCTGAGAAATACCAGGGAGCTGCGCATAGTTACACCGAATTTACCACTGTCGTGACAGGATCAAGCTTCCTGGGGAATCTCTTTCTACGCGGAGAACCGTGTCTGGGCTTGGGTGTGTGGAAGCAGCAAATGGGTGATGTTGACTTCTTGGAACACAGTCACCGTGAGACCCTAACTACCAGTTCTCGTTTGTGTTGCAGTCTGTAGACTCGAATGCATCTTTAAAATAAGATTTTTTTTTTTTATTTTTTTAAGCACGACACATGTTACACAAGGGAATGTCACATTCAATTTATTTCAATAAGAGAGAGCTCACATTCTGTGACAGCATTTCTCCGGAGACGGGGTGGGAACCTGTGTTGTAAGCATAAGCACTATCATGAAGGCAAAATAAGGATTTTTAAATGCAAATGATGATTCCTGAGTCTAAGTAGTAACTAGGGAAAACTGAATTCAAAGTTCTGGGTCCTGCTCTTATCAAATCTCTTCGGTTTGAATTTTAATAGTCAGCTGTAGGAAGACAAATCATGCGGACAAATTCATCATATTTCATTGTTCCATTTGGTCCAACTTTGGCTTCTTTTAGCAGGTCATCCACTGAAAGAAAGAATAAAAGATACACTTTTGAGTGGCATGTATTAGGGAGTTTGTGACAGTCAAAAGAAGAGCAATTCAGGATTTGGGTTTTCAAATCATTTTTGTTAGAAATAGTGACTTCTGGGATCAGTTGGAGGTGCCATCCTGGTTACGGTTTTAAACAAGCATCAGTTGGCACTCCGATTCTGATTTTCACATCTAACTTTTTTGGAGATACCCATCTGTGAGTTGCACACTGGAAAAGAATCACAAATTTAGTCCGAATCGGCTTTTAATTGCTCTTGGTCGGAGTGGCCCGTTTGCCTCGAATAGCAAACCTGTCCCTACTCAATCGAGATGGAACGAAGGGCTCGTGCAGCTGATGTGCCCGGCTTTTCAGGAGATTTACGTGGCGCTTGTTAGTGTCGGCGGGCCTTTAGTGTTTGAAGGCAAAGAATGCCTTCTCAGCTGGGGCTCTGAGGCTCTCGCTGAAAATACTTCAGCAGAAGTGGCAACGCTGCAGTTGGCACCCGGCAGTAATGACGCTTCTCATCCCAGCTTCGGGAACGCCTTGGCAGCGGCAGCAGTTACCTCACTTAAAATGCTGCCCTTCTGTGCCGCCTAAACCATTACAAGGTATTTTTCCTGTCAAATCATGTCAATAAAATACGTACCTTCATTTACAGTGGCTCCAGAAAAGCCTTCGCTTCATTTTAATTTAATGTCCTTTTACCAAATGAGAACCAACACATTTTTCTTCTGTGTTATTTTTAAACGTCCTGGGAAGAATTAATTATTTTTTTAATTTATGTCCTTAGAAGCGTTTGATTACCACCAAGGTATTCTTTTTTGGAAGGAAGAGAGAAAAAACTGTTACTCACCTTACAGTACCGAACGACACGCAGAGAAGGGATGTTTAAGTTGCTGAGTGAAGCGGCTACTGGGAAGGAGATGCCGTCATCCTTCGGGTGACTTGAGAGGAGGTGAATTCCCTGGCTCGTTCACTGCCCGCTGAACGGATGGTGCGTAGGCGCCGAAAGAAACGGCGAAGAGCCCCAGCAGCTTTTCTTTGATAAACATTTGGGGCAGCAGTTTCCTTTGATAAGGTCTCTAGTGCAGCCCAGAAGAGGTTTTTGCTGGCGTGTGTCCGGTTTGGCCGGGGTGCCGGTGCCTCCCCCGAGCCCGCGGCCGATGGGGCAGGCGGGCCTGCGTTTGTCACTTGATATTTAATTCGCCTCGGTGGCCGGAGCCCGTCGGTAGGCGGTCGAAACGGAGAGATTGAGCGTGGTGATGCTCTGGTGACGAGTCCTCCGTCGTGGGCTGGAGGCACCGAGCCCGGCCCGAGTTCTCTCCCTTGGCGAGGCGGGCGCCGGCAGGTCTCGCGAGGCCGCTTCGCCTTCTTACCCGCGAGCTGCGGGGCTGGGGATACCGGGGAGACCCAAGCTGTGCCGGGTTAAATAAAACTCCAAGTACTCGTACTGGAACACGGAGTAATAACTTTGCCTTTCCAGTTGTGAAATCCGGGGCGGGAAGGTCGTGGGAGAGGGGAGGCATTCAGTGGGGGGGGGGGGGAAAAAAAAAAAAAAAAAAAAAAGCTGTTTTACTGTAAATAATTGTGGCAGGTCTCTGTGAGTCTTCTGTTTGCAGACAATGTATGGGGGGGGGGGGGAAGGGGGGGGTAAGCGTAGCTCTCGTGGGAGCTGCAGCCGGGAGGATTTGGTTGCAGCGTGGGGTGAATGAGGGACCGTTGCGCAAACTGCTGGTACTGTAAGGTGAGTAACAGTTTTTTCTCTCTTCCTTCCAAAAAGAATACCTTGGCGGTAATCAAACGCTTCTAAGGACATAAATTAAAAAAATAATTAATCCTTCCCAGGACGTTTAAAAATAACACAGAAGAAAAATGTGTCGGTTCTCATTTGGTAAAAGGACATTAAATTAAAATGAAGTGGAGGCTTTTCTGGAGCCACTGTAAATGAAGGTACGTGCCGGTAGTTACCGAACGGTCGCGGGTGCTCATGAAATTGAGTCTGTTCCGGTATCAAATATTTATAGCAGCTTAGCAAGCTGGAGTTCAGTGTGTCAAGCCAAAGGGGGAATTTCTCGTTGAGGAGAGGCATCGCTTCCTACATTAGGATCTAGAGTGCCTTGATACAGGCTGGGAGTAGATGCGCTGCCTGTACACCAAAGCAACGGGAAATCCTCCTGCAGCTCCCAAATCTTCTTCATGTAATAGCGGTTCTTGCTCGCATGCTTTTAATTAGGGCTGATGTCTCCACGTCCTCACTGTTTGTTCGGATCTCATAATAGCTCTGAAAGTGTTTTCAGATGCAAATAGCTGCATGAATTATTATTCCAGCTAAACAATTGAAGAAAACACTCGGGAGAAATGCCTTGTTGGTGTATCACGTGTGAAGCTGGTGACAGCGACTGGACTTGACCGGCTTTGCTCTCATTAAATTCTCCTTTAACGCTAGAAAGGATGGTTCTAAAAGCCTCAAGAAGCCTAACGGGGTCTGAGCAAACCCCATAACCCTGGTAAAACTCATTCCTTTGCCTGTATCAAACGGAGTTTTTTCGAATGCTGTCTTTGGCAGAGAGCGAGCAACCTGAAAGCTCCGGCGCCCGCTCCCCGCAGCGGGGTCGGAGGGGCGAGGGCTCAGCAAGAGCTGGACGAGCAGCCAAAGGTGATGTGGGTCGGAGCAGGGAGGGGACAGGACGCCCCGTCTGCAGGGCTGAGCCCCCTCCTGCAGCCTGGGGAAGCTGGAGAAGCAGGGTGCGCATTTAGAAAGTTTATATACGTGCTAAAAAGCCGAGGGCAAAATCGCCTGTCTAAAAGGTCTTGATAATTTCCAGCTTCCTGGAAATTCCCTACTACTGTGCCCCTTGGAAACAAAATTCTGACAAAGAAGGTGGTTTTTTTTTTAAAAAAAAAAAAAAATATTAATTAAAAAGCCTCCCCCCTCCCTCTTCCAAATTGCCCTGGCCGCAGAGCTCGCCGCAGCAGCGCTGCTGGGGAGCTGCGGGTGCTCCGTACAGCATCCCTGCGGCTGGCGGGGCGCCGCGCTCCCAGGGCCCTGCGTGGGGCAGACGCTCGCTTTATAAATACAGCGAAGCAGCTCGGGGTGAAACCCCATCATCTGGGAAACAGCTTCGAGGAAGGGAAAAAGGTGTCGCGGTTCGGGGGCAGCTGTTTACGTAGGCGAAGTGTTTTAAGCGAAAGCACGAGCTCATCGTATGGCTGCGCGGGGAAGGGTCTGGTGCTGGGCACGATGTCTCGTGTCCTGGTTTGGGCTGGGAGAGAGTTAATTTTTCTTTTTAGTAGCTGGGATAGCGCTGTGTTTGGGGGTCGGGAGGGGATGTGGTAGGAGGAGAAGGCCGATAACTTGCTGATGGTTTCGGTGGTTGCGGAGATTTCAGGGGCTCTCCACCTCCTCCCCGTGTCCTGCCCGTGGGTGGGTGCACACGGAGCTGGGGGAGAGCGCGGGCAGAGCACCCGACCTGGGCAGGGGAATATTCCATAGCGTGTAACGTCCTGCTCAGCATAGAGAGGAGGGGTGGCCGGGATGGGGGGGGGGGGTTCTCTCTCACTGCCAGGATTGCGACTGTGGGGTCTCGGTATTTCGGGACCGCTGGCCGGGAACGGGCCGGGCATCGCTCAGCGGGCGGTGAGCAGTCGCCCGTTTATACTTTCTAGGATTGTTTCGGGTTTATTTCAATTATTAAACTGTTTTTATCTTGACCTCCCAGCCTCCCTTTGCCCCTCCAATCCCGCCCCCGTTCCCTGGGCAGGGGAGCGAGGGGCTGCGTGGGCTTGGGCTGCCGGCCGGGTTCAAACCTCGACGCCCTGGTGCTCTGCGCGTCGGGGGCGTGAGGGGGGACACACATCCCTCCTCCCCCCCCCCGCTGAGGCTCCTGCTACCACAGGTCCCTCGGGCTTCCCAGCTAGAAGCGCCCGATCCCAGATTCCACTACAGAGGGAAATCAGGAAGGAAATAAGAAGATGGGTGGCATTTGATACATCTTTGAATTGCAAGATACCTTCTTCCTCGGAAAGCTTTTCTCCTAATCTTGTAAGTTTGGCTCGCAGCTCCGAAACGCTGATAACGCCTTTATTCTGCCTGTCTATCATGGACAAGGCCGTGAGGATTTCCTTCTCGGGTTCCTCCTGCTTCATTTGCCTGTACATTATATTCAGGAAAGTGGAGAAATCCAACTCTGCGTTTCTGTCTGTGAAAATAAGAGCAGACTCTTTAGGAGTGGCTCAGTTCTGTAGTCCGGATCCACACCTAAGCATCACCCCCCTCCCCACCAGTTCCCTTTCCTGGGGCACCTCTTGCCTGACTGGTCTGCACCAGGGCGGGCCACTGCTGGGGCCTTTCTTCTGGCCTGAAAAACCATTTACAGCTTTCTTAGACCTGTGCTCTGAAACCTCACATCCAGCATTTTTAACCCAGCCCGCTTTGTCTCATGATTCTTCTTTGGTTTTTGTGCTGTGCTTTGAATTTATTTACACGTATCTGCAGATGAATATCACTCCTGCCTCTGCTGGTTGGACTGGACAGTTTCCCAGCCTCAAAATCCATAATCAATACGTATGCCTCTTGCTGCTCTTGAAGCTTTTCTATTTGAGTGGCATTATTTTAATCTGTGTACTGGATTGACTTCACCATCTAGCACATCAGACTAGGTTTTGGTGACTGCTCTGGGTTATCCTGCATTGCCTGGGCAGTTTCACCTGAGAGTGAGTATTAAGTCCTGGGCTCCAGGGAGCCTCCTTGTCTTTGCACGTAGCCTCCTGGCCACAGAAAAGTTGAATTTCTCCAACAATAACCCAGTGTGGGTTTTTATTCATGTGCTGCCGCCGCGCTTTGCTTACCAATCTTCTGCAAGAGCAGGTGTCTCTGCACCTCTCCCGGCGTCGGGCTGGCTCCCAGGCACCGCATCACTGCCATCAGGTCGGAGGCTTTTATCTTGCCTTTTTGTTTCTTGTCGTACAGGGAAAAACATTCCTTGAACTCTAATTAAAAACCAAAACTCTGTTATGCCATGTAAGATTACATTGATCTGCCAGTGACGTTTCTTCTCCCGTTGCCCGGCCGGGCGGCGTTGGTCGGGTTCCAGCGGGGATATTGTGTCTGCTTCGGGGTGTCTCCTTTCAAGGAAGACGATGGACGGTGGGGGAGGACCCTGGGGTAAAGTGCCAAGGGCAATTAAAATTCAGGCTTGGGACTAGCTGAGCTAATTGGCGCCCTTCGGCCTAATGAAGCAAGTCTGAAAGCGGAGTTGGGCTTCCAAATATATAGAATACTGTTAACAAGTACTTTTCTCTGCCTTCATGGGGGGGTGGGAGAGGATGCTAAAGGAATGAGCCTTGAGGAGCGGTGGAGGATGCTGGTTTGGTCCCTGCCGTTGTCTGTGCTGCATCTGGCAGTTGCCCCCCGCCGCCGGCTGGATTTAAAAAAAAAAAAAAAAAAAAGGCAAAAGAACTGATAATGTCGCGTTCGACAGCCTGCGAGCTGCCGGAGTCTGGCGGGGGAGTCTCGCCGGCGCTGGCCTCGCGGTTTTCAAATAAATAACGGAGGGAGGCTGCAGCTGACCTCGGTAAGGCTGCGCCCCCCGCTCTGCTCCCAGCACCGGCGCAGGCTCCGCTCCTCGTCCCGCTCGGCGCTGACGGGCAAGTTGTGCTGCGCGGGGGACAGTCCCGGCTGCAGAGCAGCCCGGCAGATCAAAATCGGTTTATTTAGGTGCCCTCACCCTCCTCCTCTCCGTCCCTACACCTTATTGCAGGCGTGGGTGCAGGGTGCCCCGTGGGTGCTGTGGCCTCCCCCGGCACCCATCCTGCAGAGCTGCCGAGCCCCCAGGGGCTGCAGATTTACACGTTTACAATAATGCTCTTATTTCAGCTTGCTTCTGCCGTTCTCGTAGCAAACCCTTCCTCCTTCCAGTCCGAGGCAGGGATCCCCTTTCCCAGGGAAAGCCCCGGTGCCCCACAACGAGGATTTTTGTGCTTCCTGCACCCTCTCCTTCCTCCTCTTCCTCCTTCACCTTCACTCCCATCATAGGTGAAGTCTCCTAGTACTGCAAATTGTCTCCTGGAATTTCTCCTGCTCCCTGGTGCCTTGGCCAGAGCTGACGTGTTTATGGGGTTGGGAGGTTGCTGGTTGACCTCTGCTGGGTCTCGCGGGGGGGGGGTTCAGCTCCCTGGGGGTGCCCAGCACTGTCTTAATGAAATCAGGGAGATTTCTGTGGTTTCAGAGCAAGCAGATTCCCTCGAGAGCTGGGAGGAGGGCAAAGTGGGGGGAGCACAAGCCCAGACCAAGACACTTCTTTTGGGGGAAATGCCATATGTAAAAATTTGCTAGGCTGATTTTACTAACAAAAAAAAAAAAAACCACAAAACCTAAAACAAGCCAAAACCAGACCAAAACTATACGTACCATTAATTTGATCCTGGGAAAGAAATTTTGCCTGTAGCATGAAGAAGGGTAGGAGAAGGAGAGGAGAAAAAAAAAAAAAAGTATTATTAAAACAAAACAAACCAGCTTTAAAATCTGGATGGGGGAGCAGGGGCGAGCAGTTTGTATCAGCCGAAACGCTTCACTCACCATTGGTTTGGGGGCTCTCCTTGTGTTTGACGCTGCCTGGCGGGGTCGGAGGTGTCGGCTGCTACTTTTCTTTTCTATTCAGGGCTAAAGTCCGCCAGCCCCGGGGTGGAGTGTGGCCGGGCTGTAATAAATACCCCGCTGCTATGGCTACGAGACCTGATCCCTGCCAGGGCTGGGTCCCGCTGCCAGCACGGCTCCTGCTCGCCCCGTGGGGAGAAAGGCTCCCCCCAAGCTGCCCAAAACCTGGGGGCTCTGAGGGGCCCCCGAGCAGCGATGCTGTCACAAGGAGCGGGGCGAGCGCTTCCCTCGGTCGGGGTTTAAGGGTGTTTGGGGTCAGGCTGGGTGGGGACGAGCACGAAAGGTTTGATCATCTCCCATAACTGGGCGCCTTGCACTAAGCTTGGCTGCTGGGAGACAAATCCAGCCTTGTTGCTGCCTGCTGAGGAAGGGCGCGGGGGGGATTTACAGCTTCGCCGTCGTCTGCTGGAAGGGTTTTGCTGGTGGGCAGGAGAAGGAGTTAAATTGAGTTTTTGCGTGGCTTGGCCGAGCTGGGTGCAGGGCGCTGGGCATCGCTGGCACTGTGCCTTGCCCGGTGGGTTTGCAGGGGAAGGTGAACAGGGAGAGGCTGGGACGTTGCAGCCAGGCTGAGAAGACAAGGGATTTTTGAGCTGGTTTAAAAAGCTCCTCCTTGGCTGAGTCTTTATAAGCATTTATTTAAGTAATCTGATTAGGAGCAGAGGGCCTCCAGGACTGTCAAGTCTGGTTGCAGCTCTCGGCTGGGGGGATGCTGGGGAAATGATGCCGAGGGAGGAGCTGGAGAGCTGCTGGGGTTTAAGCTGGGGTGCGTGGCGGGGGGGGGGGGGGGGGGGGGGCTCACGTCTTCAGGTCCCTTCCAGCGCTACGCTTCTGCCACTCGGTTGACATTGAAGCCGTTGAAAAGCAAGGATTGCACGTGAATCTACAGTTTTGTCCCGTTCTGGCCCCTGGGTGATGGCTCGGCTGGGTGATGCTCTGCCTCTCTGGATCTGCCAGTGCTCGACGTATCCCCCCCCTCAAAAAAAAAAAAAAACAGCAGCTGTGCAGGCAGGGCTGGCACGTGTGTGTGGGGATCAAGTGCCTGGTGCCAAGCTGGGGTGGAGATCCAGAGCCAAGAATGAAATATTTAGTGGCCGTAGTGACCCCTACAGCATGGACCAGTCCCTCCTGGGGTAGACCCTGCTTTGTTAGACACGTTCAGAGTCCTTAAATCCCGTGGGATAAATATGCTCCCTTCAAAGAGCAGAGCTGCTTCAGGAAGCAACCGGAGTCGCTCCGCTTTTACCAAATATTTTTGTTCAGTATGTTTTACTAATAGCTTTTTTTATCTTCGTCCCACTTGGGTTCCGTTAACGCAGGGCACTGATACAAATTTTGTAGACTCAAACCAGGGCAGGGACGCAGCTGAGGTCGCAGGAGCTCAGCCCCATCACCCCAAGCTGGGGAAACGGGGAGTGGGATTCATGCTGGAGCTCACCCCCTGCCCAAAGCTCTTTTGGGGCAGAAATTGGCCCTTCCTGCACCACACCTGTGCCCAGCAGTGAGGATTTAACCCCGGTGGCTGACGGCGGGGCTCCTGGGGTGGGGTCCTGGGGGAGGCACAGCTGAGCTCAGCCCCTTCCCAGCCCCTTTACTCGGCTGGGGGGAGCGGATCCGTCGCTGGGTGCAGACACAGACCCTTCCCAGGACGGGGGTGGGATGCTGCACCCCTGCTCTGACACGGGAGGGATTTGGTGCTGTCCTGCAAACACCTGAAACAGTCCAGCACAGAATTGCTTTGTGCAGCTGTGAGGGCTGGGCCGGAGCAAAGCTGGAGGAGACACCCCTGCCACCACCCTGGCTTTAAAAACATTATGTTGCAAAGATTATTTTTCCTTTTTGTTCGAAAACACCCCTTCCTAGTTAGGTCTAGTTAACATACAACACGTCTTGCAGCTAATGTTGGTCAGGAATTTATTTGAAATACATCTACATTAGAAAAACTAGATTTTTTTTTTTTTTTCTTTTCTTCAAATCACTCTAAAATATCAAAACTTATAAACTTTCCTTTGCTGCATGGAGGTTATTCATGTGCAAGGTGTAAAACGCCCACGGCTCAGGGATGTAGATCACGCCAGGGTACTTCTTCCTGAGAATTTTGTCATTCCACAGCCAAACCACCCAAAGAGCAATGAGGACCAGAGTTATGATGAAGGAGTAGAAGAGAAAAAGCCCATTGCTGTCCAGGACGAGTCCTTTGCGTTTCTGGTGCATCACTAAAGCCATCATGGCAAAGAAGGTGAAAATGTAGAGGATGAAAATCTGACCCTCCGTCACGAGGTACCTAAAAAGCAAAACCACCCGTTAGTGCTCCCCGGGGGAAAGCACCGAGCGCCAGCCCCCGGCACTTCCAGCCTCACCCGGGGTCAACATCTCCCCCTTCCCGGCCAGCGAAGCTGTGCTGCTTCCTACTGCCAGCTTTTAAGCTGTGATTTCTTTTCGTGGTTCTTATCGGTAATTTAACAACTGCGCTAGAGGCTTCGGTAAGAGAATGGGTAAAGAAACATGTGCCCGGTGTGGGATTTGAAAGGTGCCGGGCTCAGTTTGTGAATGGGATGCTTAAAGGCAGAACCAAAGCCAGGCTCTGGCTCTGACCCGTGGATGTTGTGCTCATTTAATCCAAAAATCGGCTGCTCCCCCTGCGCTGGCAGGGGCCGGTCCTGAAAGGGTGTTAGCAGGGGAAAGGAGGAATTACTCTCCCTGCCAGCACACAAACTGCAGAGTTGCACGCTGATATATTCAAAGGAAGTGCAATGGGGTAACTGGGAACTGACCCAATCAGCTTGATGATTTTGACTATCAAAAATTAATTTTCTGTATAAAAACAATCTCAGCGGGGGGGGAGGGCAAAGCCATGGGCAAGAGAGAACATCATCTCTGAAGATGAATGAAAAGTTGTTTGGCTGCCATCAGGGAAACAGTTTGGGACGATGAGGCTAATGAAAATGGGAAATAAATAAGACCTCTCTCAAAAGGCTATTTTGGAGCCGCGGGGGGAGCCGGGGAGGCCGCGGCCGAGCGTCACGCAGGCGGCTGGGGCTCTGCCTGAAATGCCCGGACAGCGGGTGACAGTGAGAGCATCCCCCTGCCCCCCCGACAAGCTGAGGCGAGGTGGCTGCGCTGCAGGCGCCGGGTGCCTGCCCCCCAAATCATCGAGGAACCGTCTAACAGCCCGGCGAACTGGGCTGTGGAGGCTGGGGGGGGCCAGACGGCAAGCGCCGTGGGGGCTGGAAGCCGGGAGCTCCAGCAACGACAAGGTGACGGACTGTGGTTGAAGAAACACCCCCAAGCAGGGACGGGAATGCTGCTGGGTGACCCTGGAGCTGGCCCAGCTTGCAAAGGCTGAAGAAGCTGCAAATTTCGACGGGGTTTGATTTGGTTTTTCAGACCTGCAGAGCAAGGAGCTGCCCTGGGGAACGGGGAACCCCATCCCGCACGCTGCGGGGCTGCCCGCGGTGCTCCCTCTTCATCCCTCGCCCATCCGGAGCGGACAGGAGCCACTTACCAGTAATAAAGGCTGCTGGGCCCCATCAGGAGCAAAGCAGCCACAGGCATCCTGCTTTCCTCTTCAACGGGGGTGAAGCAGCCGGTGAAATAGATGAACAGTATCAAGAAAAAAGGGATATACCTGCAGATATAAACGACTCCGATCAGAGGTGGGACCCTGAAGTTTTTAAGCATCCCTCCCCACCCAATCCAAACGATGCACGTAGGTAATGAATTTCTGTGCTGAGCCCACAAATTAATTCGGTGGAAGCAGAGGGTAACTGGGGGCCCGGGGTGCCGGTCAGGGCATCACCTCTCTGGCAGTGTCACAGGGCTGTTGTGCGTCCTGGGTGCTCCTGCAGATAATGAGATTTCTGGGGCTCTGGTAGGAAAAGCCCAAGTTTGCTGCTTAGGTCCAACTCTGGGCTCGAGGGCTCTGCTAACAATTGCATTCGTTACACTCCCGGGCTCTAAGGGGGCTGCGTAAGAGCGTGGTGGTGTGTTTAAAAGCTGAATTGCAGGAAGGCAGGCCGCGGAGCAGGATTTCCAACAACCCAACAGAGCCCTTTTCTATTTAAGAGAACGGGATTTGCTTGCTTCACAGCGCTCAAGGAACGGCAAATAAATCGGGAAAGCCTGATGGGGGAGAGATTTCCCTCCGCTCTCAGCAATCTTAAGGATTATCTGGCAGCGGATAAAGGGCCAGAGAGTCCTTTTTGGGGTGTTTGGTGGAGGCAGAGCAGCAGGACGTGGGATCACCATGGTCTCTGTTACTGGGTGGCACTGGTCTGGCTCCGCGAGCAGCCCTTGCCTCTCGCTGGAGGGTCACCGAACGGCTGCGTCCAGCGAAAGGAGAGAGCAAAGGGCAAGGGGGGGGGCTGCACAGCCTGGTTGTTTTGGGGTCGACCCCCCCAAAGGAGCAAAAATGTGAGCGGTGACAGCCAAGGAGCCTGCGGAGCCCTCAGACCTGAACTGGAACCTCTCTTCACCCGGGTGTCCCTGCAGAGAGGTCCCGAGGGGCGAGAAGAGATGAGCCAGAGCTCCTCTGGCCCCTACAGCTGTCAAACAACTGCCACACCCGAGAAATATCACCGAGACAGGGACAAAACTAGGGGGAATGGGCAATTTTCCAAGGGAGAGATCCACTGTAATCATAGCCCTGGCTATGAGAACATTATCCCCAGCCAGCTCTCATCACCTGCGTTTTATTTTTTTACATATTAAGCTATGATCAGGTCAGATCTCCCCTTCCTTCTATTATGTTCTGAGGCCGCTAGTCAGACTGTAAAATGCTTACCACATCGAATGACCTAAATATTCATCGTAGTAGTACAGCAGCTCAAAGGAATCAATCTGCAATGCAATGAAAAGAGATTTAAAAGGGCAGAGGGAACAGGATGCTATTAAATAAGACCAAGCAATTAATGTATTTTTTTTAAGTGCTTGTATAAAACACAGCCTCTTTACCAGTGTCTCTGGCTTCAGGTTCTTGATGATGGGATTCTCTCGTACAGAGAGATGGTGCTGGTAGCCACTGAAAATCAGGCGATGGTTTACGGAGTCTCCAACCAGGTGGATGCTGGCTCCCATGACAAACATGATGATGCTGACGTAGACCATTGATCTCGGCAAGGTCTTGGGGGATCTCTCGATGAGCTGAAAACACAAGAGACGTGTTGAACAGCGAGGAGGTACCAGCAGCAACACGCGACAAGTTCGGCCCTCTCCGACTTGACGGTGCTGTGCCAAAAAAAAAAAAATAAAAAATAAAAAAAGCAGCAAAACCCACCCCGAGTGAGAGGCCTGCAGGAAGCTGCCGGGCGTGCTGCCCCGGGGAAAACGGTGTGACCGCCCCAGGACCAGCTGCCCTGATTTCAGCCACCTTCCCTCAGCGCATCTCAGGCACGTCTCCACCAGCCTGCGTGGCTTTTGGGCTCGAGTGCGCGCTTTGTCCCTGTTTGCAACAATAAAACCACCTTTTTTTTTTTTTTTTTGCCCCGGTTATATACCAGAACCCTTAACCTGAGCCAACACTTAGAGCGAATCGGTGAGCCGGTGCTTTCTAGCAGAGTCTGCGAAGTGGTTCCTTCACCAGCTGCGATTCAGACCCGATGAAGGAGGAGCACAAAGGCAGCTGCCTTCTCTGGTTCCTGGGCTGGTGGATCCGCAGGGCTGGCTGTGCCCTCCAGCGGCAGCGCTCGGCGGGGCGCATGCACTTCGCTCCCCTGCCTTAAGGAACACTTGCTCCTTTGTAATTATTCTCTGCTGGATGATTTTTCAAAGGACTCTTGTTAAAGTGTTTGGGATTTTTTAATTTTTTTAGTCTTTCTTCCTAATGGAATCAGCTTCACCTCTCAGCATTCGCTTCTCGAGAGGAAGCTGCATTTAAACCCGTATCTCGAAATATCTAAACAGATGTATCTACACCATAGAAATACCTATGCCAGCAAAACGGGTTGAGGCGACCCTCTGAACGCCAGCTTTAGCGATGAGCCCTCCCTGCACCAGCTCACGGGCTGCTTTGGTCTGGGTGGAGGCACGCGAGGGCGGCGGGGAGCGCGGTGCTCCTCCGAGCCTGGGGGAGCTCCTGCAAGCCCAGCTGGGGATGAGGGGCAGGAGCTTCTTTTTGGAAAGAAGCTCCCCGCTCCACTTGCAAAGCCGGGGAAGACCTTGGAAGACACGAATCCCAGCCCAAGGGGTGCAGGTGTTGGAGGGGATGCCAAGCCGGCCTCGGGTCGGGGAGGGACCCATCAGCTGGGGCCGCCTTCGCCGCCCGTCCCCCTGCTGCCAAATCAGCTTTGCAGCCCTTCATGAACAGTGAAAAGCTCCTTATTTGTATTAATCTTGAGGCTTAACTTCCCCTTTCTCTGTAACTGCTGTATGAACGTCAGAGGAGTCAGAAGGGAGAGGAGAGAAAAAGGTCCGGGAAAGCTCCTGTCTGATGGAAAAGGATGGTGGGACCCGTCCTGCGAGGGGACACTGGGCAGAAGAAACGCACCCTGAATAACAAGTGGATTTTTTCTGTGCACCAACCCTTCATGCTGTGCTGCCAGGAAAGTCCAAGACAGCAATTTTTAATCTGATGAGCACCCAGCCTGCAGAAATTGGCTGTGTCAGACTGCAATGGGTCAGACCGAGCTTCAAAGCTTTCACATCCCCCAAAGGACCAGATCCTGACTGTTCCTTTTTGGTCACACTGGCATTTAAAATCTCCCAGACAGACTCAGGAGAGAGAGAGAATCATTTGCATCTTGGGATGTAATTCAATTTCTAGCTAATGAAGGTTAAAATACATTTATAATTGCCTTCTCATATCTTCTGGCTGCTAAGTATTTAATATAAGATTTCTAATGATACGACAGTCTTTAACCTTATAAATGGTTTACACAATCCAGTGGCTGGCAGCTGAAGGAAGATAAATTCAAGCTAAAGATACAATTCTAATGTCCAAGAGCAAGTGTAATTAAGCTCTGAACAATTTTGAAAGCCTACTGTAGTTCCAGCTGTCTCGTAAGGTCTTTTAAGTCACAGACGGATGCTGTCTTAAAAATTCACCTTGGCTCAGCCAGGGAGAAGGGCTCTGACTCCTCCTGAGTCTGGAGTTCCCGGGGGAAGCGATTTGCTTTGTATATTCAGGAAATTGAGTTGTATTAAGATGGTCGCTGCCTTGCTCTTTAAAAGGTGGCCTCACAAATTCTTTCTTTTTGAGGCAAACCTCTAAGGTACAGTGGGGCCGACTCAGGAGTTTGTGAATAACCAGCATTTATTCAACAAGTTCCTAACAAACTCAGCCTTTCCAAAACTGTATTGTTTGCCCCGTTTTTACAACCCGTAACATTAAAAAAAACCAACGTAACACCTGCATCTCCAGGCTTACCTTTAGCAGGAGAAAGGGCGTGATAACGTTGTAAGCCATGTGGAAATAATCTCCAGCGCTCGGTTTGTTTAGAGGAAACCACTCCAAAGGTAGAATTATCTGAGAAGGGGGGGGAAAAAAGCACAAAAAGCACATCAGTATACGCTCACCACCCGGCTTACTATTACAGCCCCGTCACCGGCTGAAAGACAGGGAGAGGGAAAAATCTTTGCTTGGGACTGTTGCTGCTTGCTAACTGTCAGCTTGCATTCAGTGAGGAAGCTGGGCAGCAATTCTTGCAGTAAGTCCCTGAAAGCGCAATCTGGGCGTGGGTGCTAAACACACGGCGTGTTCACGTCTCAGCCGGCCAAAGCTGAATGCCGGGAAGCGGCCGACCCTCTGCCACGTACACACGCCAGTGACAAAAAATTACATTTGAGGGTAACAGCCACTTCTGCCCCGCATTATCTGGAGAGCAGGAGCCCCACGCTCTGGAGATACAGGCAAGGGATGGAGAAGAGCAGTAGGAACCTCTCCAGGTAACTTTGGTTAGGAAAACATAAAGTTGTGGGATCACTGACACGGAACAAGTTTCCCTGTGACAGGAGCTTGGTACCAGTTACTCCAGTACATCGCAGCAGCTCTCATCTCAAGGACAGCTCCTCAAGAGTGTCCTTTTGGTGGAGAAAAGAGCCCACGGGTCTGCCCCGCCGCCCTCCACCCTAAATAAGTCGATGCCTCTGCCACCCTCACCATCGCGATGGGACGCCCGAAGTCCAGCACCCAGTTCTGCAGAGTGAAGTAGAACCACAGATCAAAATGAAACGGGGAGGTCTTGAAGGTGTCCTCGCTCTTGACCGCTCCATGCCTAGAGATGACAGAAGTGACACTGTCAAGCCCTAAGGAGGCAGGGAGCAGATGCCAGGTCTCCATCCCCACCCAAAACCTGCGCTTCCCCGGCTGCCGGCACCGGGATCTGTGGAGTAACAACACAGTTGAGAGGCCAAAGGGAGGAGGAGGCAGGACAGCGAGGCAAAGCGTTGTTAATAAAAGCCGGCACATCCCCGTGAGAAGGTTCTTCCTGGCTGAGAAGCGAGCACAGAAGCAGGATGAAGAGCTTAAGCGCTGAATTAAGTGCAACTATTTTTAACTTTTGCATGACAAAGCAAAATCCAACTCCTATAGCACTTCTGCTGAACGCTGAAAACGCAGAGATGCCTGCTGGTGCTCAAGCAGAGGGGTGCTCGGGATGCTCTATCACCTTCATCTTCCACTCTGAAGATCCTCCTCCTCCTCTGCCTCTGCAGAGCAAGGCCTGATCCAACCCCACTGAAGTCAAACAGCCCTCAGGCACCGCTGGCCCTTCCTCTCCCTGTGGGAAAAGGGGGTGAATCCCTCTCCTGGGGCGCCCAGACCAGAACGGCATCAGCCTCAGCTTGCTCTACCTGAGCCCCCGCTCCCAACCCGAGGGATGGAGGAAGAGGATGGTGATACCCTGGATAAATCGGGGCGCTCCGGGAGAGATGCGGGTCCCTGCAAGAGGCTTGTCAAAGCCTGGACCACTTGGGGTAGCTTAGGTAAGTCCGGATGCTCTGCACAAGGCTGCGGTGCTGGGGCTGAGCTTGGAGGGCGGGGGGGGACCGGGGAGGGGGGGGGGGGGGCACCCTACACCAGGCAGAGGGACCCCGACCCTCCGGGATAGCCGCAGCATCCCGGATGGGGCGGGTGGTTGTACCCCGGGGGGGGGGGCTGGGGATCCCGGGGGAAAAGGTGGTGGGGGGGTGCCCCGTTCCCGTCCCCCCCCCCCCCCGGTCCCGCCACTCACCTGCCCGGGTAGAGCGGCCCGGCGGGCTGGGGGGAGCCCGGGGCCGCCGCCGGGAACGGCCTCCGCCGCGCCGCGCCCTGCATGTGCCCGCCCGGCTCGGCCCGGGCCCCGCCTCGGCGCCGGGGGACGAGCGGCGGCTGCGCGGCCGGTGGCCCCGGGACCGCCCCGGCCGGGGGAGGGGAACGGCTGGGCTGGGCTGGGCTGGGCTGGGCTGGGCTGAGCTGGGCTGGGCTGGGCTGGGCTGGGCTGGGCTGGGCTGGGCTGGGCTGGGCTCAGCTCGGCGCCCGGTTCGGCTCCGCTCGGTTCGGTTCGGCGGGGCTCGGCTGAGCTCGGCTGAGTTCGGGTCGGCGGGGCTCGGCTCGACTCGGCTCGCCTCGGCTGAGCTCGGCTCCGCTCGGCTCGGCTGAGCTCGGCTCCGCTCGGCCCAGCCCAGCCCGGCCTTCCCCTCCCCGTACAAAATCCAGGCAGGGTATTTTATTTCCCTTCCCTCTCCAAAGCGCGAGCGGATCATCTTTGCTGTTATTACAACAGAGGAAAAGCAGAAGGATGATATTTAACTCCTTAATCGCTCTTTAGATGAAAAGCTCTTGGCCCTGGTGTCGCCACGGATCTCGATATGAGCCCTCGCCTGGCCACGAAAATGAGATTCAGAGGTGGGAAAGGGCTGGTGGAGAATGAGATAGAAAAAAACAGCCCATCCCCTGCAATCACTGTATCGTTTGAAGCGTGAGGCTTAATGGAAATTAAGTGGTGGAGCGCAGCGTGGCTCTGCCACAGATCTGGCTTATTGCCACGAGCAAATCAGTACGTGTGGCAGGTCTCGTCTCTGTTACCCTGGAACGAAACGACTGGTGTTCTTGCACCCGCGCGGTGTAAAGCAAACAGACATTACTGCTTGGATGAGTCGGGTCCATTTTGCCCAGATAAGTGTCATCAGGTCGGAACAACTCAGGGGCAGTAAAAGTGTGAGGCGGGGAAGGATTTGCACCCCGATGGAACTTGTAGTTTAGGGTCTAAATCAGGAGGTGGATCTGGTTTGGAAAGAAGTGGAGGTCCTCAAGTGTACACCCAGCTTCGGCTGTGCTGCCGGTCAGGGGAAATGGGGATTGAAGGTGGTTTGGGGCATTGAAACCCTTTGGCTTCTGCCGGGGGGCTCCCAGGCAGCCGGAGGACTCTGGCGCTGAGCACAGTGGAGCTGAGGGTCCTGCTCAGGCAGAGGCAGAGCCAGGAGCTCGGCGGTGACAGCACCGACATGTTTGTGTCTCTATTCCCGTGGCCGTGGGCAGCTACGGCGCCGAGATGGTAACTGGTAGGTGCACCGTAGCTTTCCGCTGAGGAGTCGTGGTCCAGACCGCGGATGAGGCGCCGAGAAGCTGCAGAGCGAAGTTCTGGTGCTGCCAGGAGGGATGGGAGCAACACCGGTGCTTCCTCGAGGGATGCTCTCCGCGCTGTTCGTGCTAACCCACGGGGGACCACGAGCAGCATCCAGGCAGCATTTGCTAGTTAAAAAAAAAAAAAAAAAAAAAAAATCCTTGAAAAGTGGAGGAGATTGTTGAGGTAATGGAGTAATGGAGACAGGCTCCACTTAAACTTACCGTGAACCCTGCTTGTTGCGCTGTGCCTTACAAGCGTACGTGGCTGTTAAAAGCTGATCCTCCTTGACTGAACACCACAGAGCTGACCGTGGCCTGACTCGCCTCCCTCTCGCCTCTCCAGGGCTCCTTTCGGCAACGCCGGCCACGCAGCCAGGCTGCCGCTCCCATACATAATGCACGGCCCGGCCTGCACGAAACTTTCCACAAAGGGCTGTGGCTCCAGTTGCATGATTTTAAATTAACTATTAATACGGCTGATACCGTATCTCCTCGAAAACAATGGCACGCAACAGACAGCGGCGCAGGCTGTGTATCACGTTACTTACCGCGGCCTTTATCGGTTTCATGTTACTGGTCGCAGCGTGGGGCATCTCCCGAAGGTCTCTGGGAGATGATCTGTACAGAGGAAAGGAGAGGCAGCCAAGCAGCTGGGTTGCATTTATCCCTCGGTTAAGCTGATACGTGTGCAGCGAGGCTGGTCGTGGTGTCCCTGAATTGAGGATGAAGATCCTGCATGTGCTGGGACTGGGCGTGATGGGCTTGTTGAGGTGGAGTCATGGCCAAGGTGATGAAAGCTGCTGGTCCCTTCTTTAAAGAAAACAGCAAACTGAACCAAACAAAACGAAACCTAGCCCAACTGAACCCAACCCAATCCAGCTGAGCCAGACCCAACCCAGCTCAGCCCAACGGAACTCAACCCAACCCAATCCAACGGAACCAGACCTGACCAACCCAGCTCAACTGAACTGAACTCAAGCCAACCCAACTGAACCAGACCTGACCCAACCCAGACCAGCTGGACCCAATCCAACCAACCCAATCCAGCTGAACCAGCCCCAAAACAACCAACCCAGCCCAACGGAGCCCAACCCAACTCAATTGAACTGAACTAGACCCGACCCGACCCAGGCCAAATGAACCGAACCTAACCCAACCCAACTGAACCCAGTTCAACTCTACTGATCCAGACCCAACAAAGTCCAGACCAACTGAACCCAACGCAACTCAACCCAAGCAAAGCCAACCCAACCCAATCGAACCCGACCCAACCCAACTCAGCCCAGCTGGACCCAGCCCAACCGAACCAGACCCAACCCAGCCCAGCCCCACCGAACCCAACCCAATCAAACCAGACACAACCCAACCCAGCCCAGCCCAACCCAACCCAACCCAACCCACCCCAACCCAACTGAACCCACCCCAACCCAACTGAATCAGACCCAACCCAGCCGAACCCAACCCAACCCAGCCGAACCCAGCCCAACCGAATCGAACCAGACCCAACCCAATCCAGCCCAACTGGACCCAGCCCAACCCACTGAGAGCCGGGAGAGCCCAGCACCCCAAATCAACTCAACAATTATTTTCTCCCTGGTAGCGCGCTGCCGGGAGGTGCAGGGCGGGGAACGGCGGCAGCTTCATCCCCACCGGGCCGGTGTTACCGCCCGCGGCCCGGAACGTCCGCGCGTTGCCTCCGGTTGCCGGGGGACGGGAAGGCCGGGGGGGGGGGGGGGGAAGGGTGCGGCGCTTCCGGTTTCGCTTCCGGAGTCGGCGGCGGCGGGGGGCGGAGCGCGCGCGGCCGGGCCCTTCCGGCGACCCGTAGCGGTGCCCCGCGCGCGGCCCCGGTGCCGGCCCTGCCGCTCTCCGGTGTCGTCGTCGTGCACCCCCCCCCCCCCCCAGCCACTCCCTTTTCCCCGTTCACGCAGGGCGGGAGCAGCGCTCCGGCCGCGGGGTTGCGTCCCGCCTCCCCCCCCCCCCCCCCCCCCCGCCGGCGCGGCCGGGGGATGGGCGGCGGGGGCTCCCGGGGCCGGTGAAGCGGTGGGTGGGTGGGTGGGCGCTGGGGCTGTGCCGCCTCGCCGCCGGGCCCGGGGGGCAGCTGGCCCCGAAGGGGCCGCATGTGCCCCCCGCCGGGCACCGAGGCAGGACGGAGGAGGAGGCGGAGGGAGAGGCCGCCCCGGCGGCGGGGCAGCCCGGTAGGCCCGAACGGAGCCGTCGGGGCCGGAGCCGGGAGGAGGAGGAGGCGGCGATGGAGGGCCTGGCCGGGTACGTGTACAAAGCGGCGAGCGAGGGGCGAGTGCTGACCCTGGCCGCCCTCCTCCTCAACCGCTCCGAGAGCGACATCAAGTACCTGCTGGGGTACGTCAGCCAGCACGGCGGGCAGCGCTCCACCCCGCTCATCATCGCCGCCCGCAACGGCCACACCAAGGTGGTCCGCCTGCTCCTCGAGCACTACCGCGTCCAGACCCAGCAGACCGGCACGGTCCGCTTCGACGGGTAGGTAGAGCTCGCTGCCGCCCGAAGGGGCTCAAGGCCGGTTGGCGACGGGGCCGTTGCTTCGGTAGCCCTAAAAATCCCCCTTGGCTGTCCCGCATCCCTCCCTCCCCTCCTGCCGGAGCTGTAAATTTTGCCCTTCTGATGTTTCCCTCCACCTGAAACGGCGTGCAGAATAACTTTCGCTGGGCCAGAGCGGCTTTTTTTTTTTCTCGGCGACGCGGCTTGCTGCCGTGCGTGACGGCAGGCAGCGGGTCAGGGCAGGGTGGTACCTCCGCACCGGGAGCCAGGCTTTGGTTTACTCAAGAAATTGAAGGTTTTTCGGTGTCCAGACTGCCCAAGGAGCATCCCATCCCCGCTGCTGGGAGCCAGCGAGTGGGCTGCGTAGAGTGAAAAGTGACATTTTAAGATGGGAACTGGGTGCTAGGCACTCAACTGGGACCCAGCCGGGGCTCTTTGGGGTGAAGCCTGGCCGTGACATCCAGGTGCCCAGGCGGTGTGCCGCCGCGGCAGAAGGAAGGAGAAACGTTGTTTTTCAAACTCCCCCGCAGCGCTTGTCAACTTCTTGCCCGTATGTCAGCCTTAAATGTAAGGCTGACTAATGGTGAAGGTAGATTGGTCTTTTGAACAGCTTCAGGTTTTGCAGGTAACAAAGGGGAGAGCTCACATCAGATACTGAGCGAGAGGGATCATAATGAGTCCCCGCTGATATCTTTCATCTGGTTCCTACTTGATGAGCTGGAGTTACGCCTGTGCAGCTCCACCTGGCCCAGGGAAAGACTGGCTTCGTTCTTACATGCTGAATGAAGGGGGAGGAGCTGGCTCCCCTGTGTGGTTTGGTTTTTTAAATTTCTTCCTCTTCCAGCCCTTTTTCTCACAAGCAAGAACTGGTTGAGAATACCTAGGGAGAGGTTTGCCCTGAATTCAGGCGAAGGAAGGGCCTCTGCTGACAGCGTTAGGAAGGGCTGTCAGCCCCCTCTGCTGCTGAATTTTCTTGTTTCTCATGCCGTGCCTCGATGGGATGGTGATCTCCTCGCCAGAGCCTCTGCCTGGTGCAGATTAAAGGAGGTGTTGTCTGAGGGACAATGGGCACAGTGGCAGCCTGGTGAGAAGAGAAGGAGGCATGTGATCCTGGCGTTATTGTCATTCTTCTTGAGATAAGGTGGCACAGCGGCTGTAAATACATATCTATAGAGCACCAATAAATTACCTCGTGTTCGCTAACAAATCCTAGGCCCTGACTTTCCTCATGTTTTAACGTAAAAGTGTTTTAATGTGATTATTTACAATATAAGTAACTTATTTCTCTGAACAAAGGTGTAGGCATCCCTGCATGCCAGAGCTCTTAAAGTGTTGTCTAGGGGTGTGGGATTTAGAAACAGCCACACAACTGTTCCTGCTGAGCTCTGTGAGAGCTTCATAAAATGATAACAATCCCTGTTAAAGTTAAAATTAAGTTGGTGTCTTATGATATTTTAACTTTGGGAAACGCGACTGTTTGGACGTGTGGGAATAAGATATTTGTCCCTCTGTGATTTGGGATGTGCCTTGAGTGTGCATTGACTGCAGTGTGAACGCCACCTGTTTCTACATTTAAGTGCTACTTCAAAAATCAGGGGAATGGAAAAGACTTCAGCCTTTATCTTTGTAGTTACACACCGTGCTGGATTTGGGAATGAAAACAGCTTAAGAAACTGTGATGCTTTGCTAAAGTTAACTGTCCCCTCATTTACGAGTGCCAGCAAGCTGTCTAGAAGGACGCGATGTAAAACAGATGCCTGCAACAGTCCAGCTCAGAAGAACTTCTGCTTTTTAAAATTTTATTTCGGGAGTACCATTTGTGTAAGCAGACTGCTGCTCTGGTTTACGGCGCAGTCTCTCGAACGAGCAGTATCGGCGCAGTGGAAGCAGTGGCAGTTTTGCAGCTCGGGGAGAGGGAACAAGTGAAGTGGTGCGAAATTCTTAAGCCAGCTTTGCTGCCAGGGCCGGTGTGCTGTATAGCTGTACTGTTCCTGTCTGAGTTTGTTTTTTGTTTTTTTTTCTCATGTCAATATGTCAATTTTAAGTTTTTTCTTTTTCTTTAACCTGTCAGTTTCTGGCACAAGGCATCAAAGAAGCGGTAATTCTTGTAACTCTTCTTCCCGAGGCCTCTGTAGGCTGGAGCTCGCAGGTAGGAACTTCAAAACAGCCTGGGAAGCACTCGTGCGAAATGTGGCTAAATCCCCTGGCTGCTTTGAAGTTTCAACTGTGTCTCTCTGTTGGGAGGTCTGTGTCTGTCATTCTTTTGCCCTGGCTATGCCGGTAAGTCCCTTCAAGTACAAAAATAGGATGGGTACAAAATGTCTTTTAATGGCCGGGTACGTACGTGGCTGTTGCATCCCGCTGGGCCGTCTGGCAGAGATGCTTTTGCAGGAGCGTCAGTTTAACTGCTCGTTTCTGTCTTTACGTTGGCAGCTTTGTCATTGACGGAGCCACAGCCCTGTGGTGTGCAGCAGGAGCCGGCCACTTTGAAGTAGTCAAATTGCTGGTGAGTCACGGCGCCAACGTGAATCACACTACAGTGACCAATTCGACTCCCCTGAGGGCTGCGTGTTTCGACGGCAGACTGGACATTGTGAAATACCTGGTAGAAAACAATGCTAACATCAGCATCGCCAACAAGTACGACAACACCTGCCTTATGATCGCGGCTTACAAAGGGCACACGGACGTGGTGAGGTACCTCCTCGAGCAGCATGCCGACCCCAACGCCAAAGCCCACTGCGGTGCCACGGCGCTGCACTTCGCGGCCGAAGCCGGGCACTTGGAAATCGTGAGGGAGCTGGTCAAGTGGAAGGCGGCGATGATGGTCAACGGCCATGGGATGACTCCGCTGAAGGTCGCTGCCGAGAGCTGCAAAGCCGACGTCGTGGAGCTGCTGCTCGCTCACGCCAACTGCGATAGGAGAAGCCGGATTGAAGCTCTGGAACTCCTGGGTGCCTCGTTTGCAAACGACAGAGAGAACTATGATATAATGAAGACTTACCACTATTTATATTTAGCGATGCTGGAGAGGTACCGCGACAGCGAGAATATAATTGAAAAAGAAGTTCTTCCACAAATAGAAGCTTATGGAAACAGGACTGAATGCAGAACTCCTCAGGAATTAGAGTCTATTAGGCAGGACAGAGATGCCCTGCACATGGAAGGCCTCATTGTGCGGGAAAGAATCCTGGGCTCGGACAATATCGATGTTTCTCACCCCATTATTTACCGTGGGGCTGTTTACGCAGATAACATGGAGTTTGAACAGTGTATCAAGCTATGGCTCCATGCGTTGCATCTAAGGCAAAAAGGCAACAGGAACACTCATAAGGACCTCCTGAGGTTTGCTCAAGTCTTTTCTCAGATGATACACTTAAACGAGCCCGTTAAAGCCAAGGACATCGAGAGCGTTCTGAGGTGCAGCGTCTTGGAAATCGAACAAGGCATGTCCCGGATCAAAACCACCCAAGACACTGACATCCACACAGCCATGGACAACTACGAATGCAACATTTTTACCTTTCTCTACTTAGTCTGCATCTCTACCAAGACCCAGTGCAGCGAAGAGGATCAGTCACGAATCAACAAACAGATTTATAACCTGATTCACCTCGACCCCAGGACTCGGGATGGCTCGAGCTTGCTGCATCACGCTGTCAACTCCAGCACGCCGGTTGACGACTTCCACACGAACGATGTCTGCAGCTTTCCTAACGCGCTCGTCACAAAACTCCTGCTAGACTGTGGTGCTGACGTGAACGCTGTGGACAACGAAGGGAATAGTCCGCTCCACATCATCGTCCAATACCACAGGCCCATCAGTGACTTTTTGACGTTGCATTCCATCATTATTAGCCTGGTGGAGGCTGGTGCTCATACAGACATGACGAATAAGCAGAAGAAAACCCCTCTTGATAAAAGTACAACAGGGGTGTCTGAAATACTCCTTAAAACTCAAATGAAGCTGAGTCTCAAGTGCCTGGCTGCCCGAGCAGTACGGATCTATAACATCAGCTACCAAAACCAGATCCCCAGAACTCTGGAAGAATTTGTCAAGTTTCACTAGGCTACGTAAAATCTTTTCGTGGTGGTGCTATCCCGGGACGACATCAGCTGCAGACAGCAGAATACATGTGTAGACGTGGAGTTGGTTTTCTCTGTTCTTTTGGTTTTGGGTTCCTCTGGATTCAG